CTGCTCAAGTTTCTTCTCTCTAACATCTCGGATTTCTTGTTGGTACTGAGTAAGTATTTGACTCCTTTTCGCCACAGCAGACCGCTTGAGAGATTCCACCTGATACTCCCGCAAAGTATCAGCGATTCCGACTTTTTCATCTCTACGTGCATCTATGCAGCGCATCATTGCGAGGTATCCTGGGTGTGTTGGGTTTGCTGATCTAAGCATCGCTTCCTCCCTGTTCAATTGATCTAGTCGCTCCGTATGTAGCCTGCGAAATTGTTAAAGACTTGGATATCTCGTAAAAGGGTTAGCTTTACCTGTCCCTGAAGGTCGTAAACTGGCGTTCTATGGCGCCCAATTGTTCTAAGGCAATACGTCTCTTTTCGACTATGATAAGTCAGTCGTAGGTCAGGACAATCTCGTTTCATACATACGCTCTTCCTCGTTCTTTTGTGCAGCATCTGCCTCGTCGTCTCCTTCATTTTCAGCGTTGTCTTCTTCCCCCCGCCGTAAATCGTCTTGTCCGTTGACAATGGCTTCTGCCTCGAGGACGTTTTCCGGCTCTTCGGCGTTATGAACACCATTTTCGATTCCTTTCCTCCTTTTCCGTCCCCGTTTCTTGGGCGAGACGGCAGTGTCTATGCCCGCTGCTACAGCTGTAGCCTGTAGCACTTCCTCAATCCCCTCGGCCAGACCGTCCTCAATGACTACCCCACCTTCGTCCCCCGATATATTTCCGCTGAGATGGTTGGGTTCAATATCAAGGTCTTCCTCCTGTTGCGTATCGTCATCCACCGCATACTCGTCGCCAGTCTTCATGACAGACCCAGTGCGCTTCCGCAGCGGCTCTCCAAGCTCTTCTTCGAGTCCACTTCCTGCCATTATTGACCGTTTTCGTTTTCGGGTATCTGATTCAATGGAGAGTAGGTTTTTGTTCTCGCCGGACGAATCGTCTAGAGATGTTGGCGCAGTCGGAACTTCGTCTGCATCCTCGTGGTTTGAACTTTTTGGGGACTCAGGGGACTCATCCATTGACAATTCTGCCTCGGACAATGGGTCTTCGTCGTCGTCATCGTCGTCTTCCTGATCTTCGGCAGTAATCTGGTTATGAAGTTTGCTCGGGGTATGATCGTAGGACGTATTGCCGTTGTGAGAGCTTAGGACGACGTCTTTTTGGGGTCGAAATTTGTTCGGTGATTCTTCGAGCCGTTCTGTCTCTGCCTCCGAATCGTTCTCTTCGTTTTCGTCGTCTGATATGTTACTGAGTTCATCGTCACTTCCTTCTATATCTTCATCCTGTTCAGCATCTTTGTCCTCAATTTCACTCAAGCTGCTGGATCCGTCTCCGTCAACCTCAATGTCGCTCAGCTCCTCTGGTGAAGGCCGCGCAAGCGCAGCTTGTAATAATGCATCGGCACCTTGGTCCATGGTCACACTCATGTTGCGCTGCAGGTATTTCGACTCAATCTGGCTTGAGTCCACTGTGGTTCACATAACCTCGCGGGACCGAGAGGAGGACGATTCGAATGTAGACCTTCCTCGTTTGTGTGGATGGTAGCAGTTTGGATCGCGGAGAAAGGCTAGGAGCCACCGAGAGATACGTACTGCGCCTGTTGCGAAAGAATATATCGAAGTGAAGAAAGATTCTAGTGATTGTTAGGAGCTCACACCGAGTGTGTCTGTGACGACCTTGTCGGCCTGCTTGTGTCGCGCTTGTGGATCCACAGTTTAAGCGGTGTTCTGCCGGACGTCCCCACTAAATTAGGAACAACAAGTGAAGCCAATCACACTCCTCATACATCGCCTAGTCACCTGGTATGTCCTTCGACCTTTTCCTGGGAAATCGCGTCTAGATCGAGTTGATTCCACACGTTCGCCTGGCCTTACTATCGAGTTCATCTACTTGCAAGTGAGCGCTTTGCACTGATTATTCCTTGAAAACAAACAGCTCACGACGAAGATGTATCCCACCGTGAGGTTATTGCAGCATGCTTGTCGAATCACGTTCTTTACCAGACAAAACTGTTCTCTATGCACCAATGCTAAACAGACTCTATCAAATGTTTGGGACAAAAGGCATTTCGAGTACAAAGAAATTGATGTCATGGAAGCGGAAGGAAAGACTTGGAGAAACATGTATGAATTTGATACACCTGTTGTAAGTTCAGATCGATTAGATTAGGGATTACGGAAGCACAGTAGTATCAATTCTAATAATATGAACATAGATACACATCAGCAAAGCATCGAGTGGAGAGGAGAATCCAGATCTCTCAGGGGATGCTCACAAACTGATGCATAGATTCTCAGAGGAAGAGGTCATAGAAAAAATGGATATTGCTGAATCTGGTTGATTCTGCATTTACAAAAGACTCTAAAAGCCATTGCCAATCCTGCTTTAGAGCCGAATTATTTACATTTTGCAGCTCTCGAAGAAAACTAGCTTTTGGCCTCTTACATCTAATTTATTTACAGTAACCAAAGCCTCTGCTACATGTTCTTGCTTCAACTCCCATAGCCTTGCTGCTTAGGTGCCGGGCCAGTCTTCTTCGCTATCGCCAATGCTTGCATTACACCTCCAGCAAGCACATGTATATCTGTCGCGGCACTGATCATGTGGAAGCCTTTATCAGCAAAATTCTGCGCTTGCTGTCCGTTGGTGCAAAAGATTCCTGCTTTTTTGCCAGCAGAATTTGCTGCCTGTAGCACTTTGTCAATGGCGGCTACCAAATTCTCGTGCATTGTCCCGTCAAGAATAGGATGACCTATGTTGTTTCCCAAGTCGAATGGGCCAACAAAAAGGACATCAATCCCAGGAACCGCAGCGATTGCGTCAACGTTCTCAAGGGCTTCTTTAGTCTCAATTTGTACAATTGTCAAAATCGCCTCGTTTGCCTGCTTGAGGTAGTCGGTGGCTCCCAGAGAGGGGTCAAATCGTTCATGTGGAAAAGGACTCCCAAATCCTCGCTGGCCTTGGGGTGGGAACTTGGCGCTACGAACGAGTTTCTTCGCATCTTCGACCGTGTAAAGGAGCGGCACGAGTACTCCATGAGCACCAGAATCGAGTGCGCCTGTTTCGGTCAGCAAGCAGTTAAATCATGAGCTAAGCGGAACCAACGTTTGACCATCCAACCCTGATTGTCAGGAATTCGGACTATAGGCGAAACGCCACAGGACGCTACGGCTGGTACTGCTTCATGCATCGAGGCATCTGTATAAAGTTTCAGCGACTTCTGCGAAAGAACTCGCGAAAACCAATGCTAGCTGCCTTTCCGCAACCTCGTGGTTCGAACGTGAAACTAGTCACTCAAAATGGATCACAAAATCATCGGACATGTCTGAATGAGAGTTTTTCCTTTGAATACGGATAGAAACTGCTAGATGTGAGTCTCTACTGCTCAGAGGTAACCGGCGCGGTATCATTCATGACCCAATACAACCATTTCCTAAGAGATGCGGGAACACACAACTCTGATGACTCGTTTATAAATATAGTCTTACCGTCAATATTTCCATCTATACCAAATTAGCTATGATCTCGCCATGTTCCGCAGTTTCAACGACATCAATCCTTCTCGTCTGAGATGTGGAATCATGAATGCCATTTCGCTTTTCAAAGACGCAGAACCTACGCTCGCAATCGACGACAACAAAGTCAACTCCAGTTCGGGCTAAAGTCCTCGAAATATTCGAACCAGGAGCCATTTGCCAACAACCGAAAGCAGCCTTGTTGCTATCCATAACCACTTTCATGCGATTCGACTCTTTCATTGCGACCATGGTGACGTGATGACGAATTGGTGGATTCGCACAAGATTGCTGATTTCTTGAGGAGCTTTGGAAGGCAGATTTGAAAAGGAATCCGCCAGCTCGAGTTCTGATGAGGCGTGTCTCTGAATTTGCGAGTAGCTTGAAGGAACGCCGAACATACGTTGAGTAATACATGCTAGGTGAGCTTCTTAGGCATGTACTTGTAGTCATTTATTACCCCACTACACCCCACTATCAACCACAATCACGTGCACCTTCCGACGTTGTCAATCCACCCAGCATTTTCTATGAGTCGGAAGTCTGGTTCTTCTTATATTCCTAAGAGTTGCCTTCAATTTTCTTCCTTCCACGTTTTGATCACACAAAGCTTCGTTCTTTAGCTGATCTCGCAAGGTTCTTGACATTTCTTTACACCTAGCCCCTAGTGTCAATTTTTTTCCAGGACTATAATGCTCACACAGGATACTCATGGAAGAATTGATCATATCAAATAACAAAGAAGCTACTCTATTATTATGAAGACCAGCTTGGCCGTCACCATGCATAGAGTCATACCATCATATTTCACGGCTTATTCTTTACCAGTCCAGTACCGAAACAAGCCCACTGGCTTTTGACAAGAGCCATAAGGATAAAGACAAGATAGTAGGGGCCAATAATAGCAGCTTTCATATCGTCTACAATCCCACCATTCGTCACAAAGAAAGGATCCGGGCTCCGCGGTGCCGTTTTAGTAGGTACTGCTCAATCGGAAGCGTTCCATAGCAAAATAGGATGGTCAGGCTTTACTGTAGGTTTGCGCTGGCTTTAGGATCCGGTTCATCATACAGTAGCGGTGTAAGTTTAAATCACATTACTCTTTCCCAGAGCCCCCGGCTTTCTTCCCGCCGCCAGTTGATCAACTTCACAAGTGCCAACGATTATTAGGATTGACCGAAACCGACGTTATGTACAAACCTAACCGTCCCACACTTTAAAGTCTTTATGTACGACCATAGGCAAAATTCCGCCTGTGGCCGAGTGAGGGATGCGAACTAGACTACATGAGTTTTCAAGTAGTCGGGTAGTCGTGGTGGAAGATGTTACCCCCACACTAATGCTGCAACCCTGCACATGCCAGGCGAACCGACCACTGGCATCAGTGGCATGCCCCCCTGAAAATCTCCAGAACGCTTCACGGCATTATTGATGGCGTCGATAATCACCTCAAATCCATAAGTTCTTCGGCTAAGCTTTTAACACCACACATGGAATTTATTCGGCGGACTTCCTGAGGCCTCTTCCCAGAATACGGAGCAGGTTCCGATATACAATACACAGGGAGGTTCCAAAACGATGACGGCCCGTTCTAAACCGGCAATCCTGCATACACTCTCTTAGGACGCTTAAAAGGTCTCATTGAGCGGAAATGGCTCTACGTTTGCTGCCACTGCGTAGTATCTATACAAAAACAGAGCACTGCATTCCACACATTTCAGTTGAGATGTGCGAAAGCTCTCCGATATTTGGTTGGGTTCGAAATGCAGATATCTTCGTATCCAATTTGCAAAATAACTCACCGAGTAATTCATTCATTGGTTGGAAGGGCTGACCAGGGATTACTGAATAGTGATATAGCTCAAATCCTCCGCTTTACGGACTATTTGGTGGTACGCTAGCTCCACGCTCACATACGAACATCAAGCACAAGACATGCAATGTGAGAGTCTTGGGTGTTCCTCATAGGGTCAGTACAGAAGTATGTTCCATCTGAAGTCTTCACCGTCGTACGGAATCGCCGCTATTCCCTGTTTCGGTCACGCAACAGCTTACCAGCGGCAATAAAAAGAATGACATAAACTCGCTTCGCGGGTAATCCCCCCTTTTATCCTCATATTATCCCAGATGTCCCCAAACCGGCGGGACGGTGTCTAGTGGCTGAAAGGATTTGGCCCGTCTGCTTCTGCTTCTTTCTCGGGATGTCTCGACTTGCGCAAAAGAAAGCCCGCGTGGCTTTTTCTACACCTACTCCAGGCCCACTACTCTACTCTAGTCCGAGGGATGGTCGAGGCCAAGAACTCGACGTAGTGTGGGGCGAGCCGTCCCTCCTATAATTGTGCGACGAACGGGACGTTGGGGCAGCCCTTGACCTTTCTTTAAAAGAACCCATTACCCACCCCTATCGTGAGTTTTCTCTTGCTTATCCTTCCTGTTCTCTGCTCGGTGAATAATTCAATCTATTTGCCGTCGCTTAAGCCGTCCGTTCCTCGCATTGCGCAAACCTGTGACGTAGCTTTGACCCCTGGCTACGTATTCTCAATTATATCACTCCCGACGGTTGATATTCACCTGGACATCAGAATCTCGGTCACTCAGTTGCCGACTTGATTACTATATAAACCTCTCCAGCTACCATCACACGCAATCAATAAAGAAAGGAAAAGACCTCAAAGTAGATATAACGCAAAATACCTCAATCTACAGTTCAAAGAAAAATAATGCTTTCATACGAAAACCGACCAGCCATGGGCCAGCCAACCACAGCAGCTTCGGATCACCTCCCAATCAATACACCAAGTACCACTGGCATTACCAATGGCACTAGCACCTCAAAATCCCAACCAGAAACCAAACACTCACACATTTGGTTAATTACTGGACCAGCAGGATGTGGAAAAAGCACAGTCGCAGCTTACATAGCTAAAGCCATGAGTCTCCCCTACATCGAAGGAGACGAAGTAAGCATCCACCAACCTATTCCCAATCCACAACACTAACACCACCCAGTTCCACCCAGAAGCAAACGTCAAGAAAATGTCCGAGGGCATCCCCCTTACCGACGCAGACCGCTGGGACTGGCTAACGCAACTGCGCGAGGAAGCCGTCAAACGAATCGCCTCCGGCTCCCAAGGCGTGGTCGTCACTTGCTCAGCTCTGAAGCGCAAATACAGAGACGTCATCCGTGTTGCACCGTATTACTCCCACGACGTCCTCGTCCACTTCATCTACCTCCACGCTCGCGAAGAAGTGCTAGTTGCCCGAGTCGGTGCGCGCAAGGGCCACTATATGCCAGCGAGCATGGTACATAGCCAATTTGGGATTCTCGAGGCGCCAGGAAAGGACGAGACGGATGTGATTAGTGTGGATGTGAGCGGGACGCTGGAGGAGGTCGAGCAGGATGCGCTGGCGAAGATTCGGGACGCTGTGAAGGCGGAATTGGTCATGGATTCGTAGGGTCGGATTCTGGGGGTTGGGTCAGCGTGGGGATTGAATGGGTTTAGACTAGGACGGGATCTGGGATTGGTGTTTTCATCTTGGCGTTTGTAAGGTTACAGTGCACGCGTGGGTGAGATACCTTGAGAAGGAATGGATTACACAGACAGGCGTCTTGCTGGGTGGATTTCTTGCTGGCTTGCTCTTTTCATACTGGCTATGGATTTCCCTTTGCAGAATAGGCTACAGAGGATTGGCGTTGGGCTGTCTGCTTTGGGCTGAAATCACGGAGCAAAATAGATAGGCGTTTTGGTATCACCAGAAGTGTGCAATTACAACCATGAACCTTGACAACTAACTTTTTTCATTTTCGTGAACTCTATAGTCTCTATTCTATGCCACATCGCGTACCTCTTGTTTGCGGGGTAGGAGGCCCGTTACTCCAGTTACACTTCATGCGACGTGACAGCGCTTTGGCTTGAGGCTGAGCCCCGGGAGATGGCTATAGGTCGGGAAGGCAGTCCCAATGTATTCCCATGTGCCAAAACGGCTTGTTTCTTGTGTAACCTCGCGACAAGTACGCTGCTGCATGCTGGCCGGAACTTCACCCGGTACATCCTGAGCCGATTGAAGGCCGAAGAGCGTCTACCGCAGATGCATGAGCATACTGTCTGGGTTCTCAACGAAACCTTTTACTACCTCGGCGGCCCGCGCCATCGTTGCTCCGTCGATGACCCGGTGGTCTGCACTCCAGCTAAAGTTGACGACCTGTTTGGCGATCACTTGACCATCTGGTCCGAAGGCTGGCATCGTTCTCAACTTCCCCATGCCTAATATTGCCAGTTCTTTCTCTACTATCACAGGAGCTACATAGGTGCCACCTATGCTTCCGATATTGGACAATGTTATAGTTCCACCGGTAAGGTCCTGTGTTGAAAGCTTTCCAGAAGAGGCTAGCAACTGTAACCGGGTGAGTTCCGCGGCGATACCTAGGATGTTGAGACTAGAAACGTTCTTAATAACTGGAACCAACAGTCCCATGGGGGTATCCATGGCTACACCAATGTTGTGATGGGTACGATGAACAAGAACCGGCTTGCCTGTCCCGGGATCCGCGTCAACCCTTGCATTGAGTATTGGATAGTGATCCATGGACAGAGACATGGCCTTGATAATAAAAGGTAGATAGGAGAGCTTATGAACGTCTGATATTGGGCTCGATTTCAAGCCCCTGTTCAACCTTGAGCGCAGTTCGGTAAGCTGGTCGAAGTCGATCTCGTCTGTATAAAGGAAGTGTGGTTTAGCTAAGGCTTTTGTCATCGACTTGAACATCTGCGATTGAATGTTGGTTAATGAAACTACCGTCTCTTGTTGCTTCGAGATCTGCACCGCGGATGCCGTGGGGGTCTGCTCAGCTGCCGAAGTGCCAGCAGCACGGCGTCTCGCAAACTCATGTACGTCCTCTTTCAACACCCTACCATCTTTCCCAGTCCCTCTAACCTCAGTTATTTCCACCTTCAGTTCCTTGGTGAGGTGTCTTACAGCTGGTGTTGCCAGATTTGCGTGCTTGCTTCTTGAAGTATCAATTGGCGGGGTAGATGGCGGGGCACTTCTGGATACCACATCTGGTTTTCTGCTACTCGGCGAGCCTTCGGAACTGGCTAAATTTTCGGTTTTCGTGGATTCAGTTGACGAAGGGTTCGCAGACTTCTCTTGCTGTAAGCCCGATTCTCCACTAGCATCTGAGCCAGTCAAGGCCTCCAGATCTTGCGCGCTAACCTCGCTTTGTATATCAATATCTAGTAGGGGCTTGCCTACTTTTGCCATGTCCCCAGCTTCATAATGCAGCTTTTTTATAACCCCTGCAAATCTGCTTGTAATTTCGACAGAGGCTTTGTCGCTCTGTACTTCGCACAGCTTATCCCATTCCTCAACCCGGGCTTCCGGTTCCACGAACCATTGAATGATCTCACATTCTCGTATTCCTAGGCATATGCTGTTAGTATACAGTCCAAAAGTATAAGGAGTCCTAAAGTTACCTTCACCAATGTCTGCTAGAAGAAAGGGCTTCACCGCTTGAGATTTCCGTGTCTCATGAAATGCTCGGTACGAAGGGAGACTGGCACAATACCTAGTGGCACTAGGAACATTTGCGCGTTTCAGAGCAAATTGGGTTAATCTTTGGAGGCGCATGATGAAGATATGTCTTCCTCGAGATCGTATGATCAGAGGAGAAATAGACTCTCATGGTGATTATACGTACCCTTCTCCAGGAAAGGCGGGTTAAGAAGTGACATCTGGGGTTCCCCACAAAGATCTGAATTAAGACCGGTTATCGTCGGCGGATATGGTTGGCGGCATGTCATGTCTTCGGACCCCTGATCCCATGCACGGACCAGTTCGCTGCTACGAAACTAGTCAAATTTTGTGAAGATGCATTGTTGATCCGGTGAACAAGACGAAACAATTGCACAATCATGATTTTGTCACGAAAGGCTCGGGATCCTAAAAATGTAGGAATAGACGCAGCGGCATGTCTGCTATGTCAATGGAGGAGTTTCAACACATCATTTCGCCCACTAGCTCAACAGCAGCCGACCAAGCCCAAAAGTGTAGCTCCGAAGTCACAACCTCCCGTTCCAGATAAACCGCCAGCTAGTCCAGCGACCCCAGCTCCATTACCCTCTGCTCTCGAAGACGCCCCCAAATCATACGGCAGAGCACATGAGGTCTTCACACCGAAGCCTCTTCTGCGGCCAATTGGTCTACCAAACCCTCCTCGGCCAGGTGAGAATACCGGAGTCGACACGAGAAGCTTGAAACAGAGGAGAGATGATTTTGTTGACTACGACAAACATCTGGCTAAGAGGAAGGAATTGTAAGTCTTATTTTTGGCACTGCAACATGCCTGGGCTGATGCAACGTTGTAGAACTCACAAAGTCGCATCACCCTACTTCCGAGAATGGGACAATATGCGATTTTCTAAGGGGAAAAGCTTCATCGCCCCCCCTAATATATTCAAATCCGATTTATCACTATATTTCCCTAACCTTCGCGGACAGACACTGTTGAAAGACCGGTCCCCCAAGGATACGACTCCCGCTCTCGAAGACAAGATATCAATAGTAAGCATTTTCAGTACGCGATGGGCGGAGAACCAAGCAAATACTTTCGTTTCCGAGAGAGCCAATGCAGAACTGCACGAAGTTTTGAAAGGCAGTAAAGGACTGGCGCAGATGGTACGAATTAATCTGGAGGAAAACTGGATGAAGGCCATGCTCGTTAAGTTATTCATGCCAAGCTTGAGGAAACAGATGGAGGAGAGCTCGTGGGGACGTTATTTCTTGATTAGGAAGGGCTTCAAGCAAGAAATGAAGGAAGCCATTGGTTTACTCAACACCAAGGTCGGCTATATATATGTGGTTGACGGGAAGTGTCGAATCCGATGGGCTGGAAGCGGTAACAGCTCAGAAGAGGAGAGATCCGGACTTGTAAAAGCAGTTGGCAGACTTCTCGAGCAATCGAAGGCGCAAAAGGCAAAGCCCATTCCTCCACCACGGAAGAAGACGATAGACTCCAAGTCGAATAAGAAGGCTGCAACAACCGAGCCTCTTGCGCTATGATGTTGGAAAGGATCGAAGCACGATCACTGTATTACTAGTCATACCGACGCCTATTGTTCCAAAACTGTACACCACCATGCCTACCAGCCAAATCCAAACGCCCGCTTTAATGCACAACAATCCGAGCCTCCTCTTACATAAAATACAAAAACATCAGAAAGCAGAAAGCGATGAAGCTTCCCATTATGATACCGTCTCTCCTCTTCCTCGCAGATATCCTCCCTATCAAGGAATTCAATCCTGGGACCTGGCTTGCAGCACCGGTAATTCGACGATTGATGCTGGCTAATGTCTCCCTCTGTATCCCGAAACTCTCATTGACAGCATAAGCTTGACTCAATACACTATCTGCCATGTTGTGACTGTTTTCTATCCTAGACCTTTCACCTAACATATAATCCGCCTCTGCCGCCTCAGGGTTGTTGGAATGGTAAGCGTCAATGTCGCTTCTCACATTCGAAAGGAGATTTGCCCGGTTGCGGGCCTCATTCAGCTGCGATTTTAATCTTGACAGTTCGCGTCGGTGTTCCTGGAGTACCTCTTTATGGCGCGACAGATTGTTCTGCTTAAGCGCGGAGGCTGTTAGGGTTGCTTCGGAATCGAGGAGTCTGGTAAGTTGCGATATGAGGGTTTCTCGCTGAACGCAGGATTAATTTTTGTAAAGCGATTGACAACGACCAACTATACCTTTTCTAGTATATCCTGTAATTTGGCCTCGGTATGCCGCTCATCTTCAGAAGGTTTTGCTGGGATATTCGGAACCGCTGCGAACTGCGAATATGTGTGAAATAGAGTCTCTGTCTATTTTAAAGTTAGGCCAGTTGACAGTTACAACGTAGGGGATGTACCTGAGTTTCTAACGATCTTGCTTGTTGTCGCAGTTGCGCCCAACCAGTACCTGTAGAAGTAGCCATCGTCGTGCAATTAATTTTCTCAAAAGGTAGGTTTCATGTGTATTCCAAGAACACAACTCTGATACTTGATTTCTGTCTTTGATCACCATCGTAGGAACTCATGCGTCGGCACGGAAGCAAAGACGGACCGATCCTTTGGGCACGTGCTGCGACTGAGGGTTGTCTCGCTTGAGGCTTAGCGCGTTGACCGCCGCCCACCAAGGCAATTTTCCTGTAATCGAATAATTTCGCGATCTTTTAACGACAACGACGACCACCCCTCCAATCGACAACCAACGCACGGCAAAAACTCACGATGGTAAGGGGAACTGATGCCGATATTATAATGATGCAGGCACATCTTTTTGAGAAGATCAGGGTGGCTAATTCACATGCGACAGTCGTCCGGAAAAGTTAAGACTGGCCAACTTTGGTCCAAGAACAAGGCCGACCTTGCTAAGCAACTTGGAGAGTTGAAGACAGAGTTGGGTCAATTGAGAACACAGAAGATTGCTGGAGGATCAGCGTCGAAGCTCACAAAGATGTGCGTACATTCCGTTGCGAAGGGCGAGCTTAGGACAGAGTCAAGATGTCATGGCAGAGGATGCTGGGATGATGGACAATGTACTAATGACTATATTCTCATAGTCACGATATCCGAAAATCGATCGCGAAGGTTCTCACAGTCATCAACGCAAACCAGCGCGCTCAGCTCCGTCTCTTCTACAAGGGAAAGAAGTACACACCACTCGACCTCCGACCAAAGCAGACACGTGCCATTCGAAGACGCCTAACCAAGAACGAGAGCGGAAAGACATTGGAGAAGACAAAGAAGCGATCGGTACACTTCCCACAACGGAAATACGCTATCAAGGTATGTCGAAATGTTGATCTGGGTTAGGATTTTCAAAGACTAATGGCTGGGCAGGCTGAGGCTTAGAGGGAACTTTGGGAATCGTTTTGTGGCATGGCTTCTTTGCAAACGGCTTGATTTATTTCTAGGGTTACGGTGTATCATCGAGAATAGCATGGTAGGCGTGGAGCCACCCTAAAAGAATCACGACAATAAGCAAATATGGTCTCGACACGATTTTATGTGATGTGATGCGATGTTGTTTCAAGGGGTGTTGCGGTGCTCTTCTGGGATTTTGTCCACAAACGAACCGGTCCGTTGGAGTTTCCTTGAAGAACTGGCCGTGTAATTTCTACCGGATTATCTACTTTATTTGGCTGCCGATTTTCAATGATTTAGCTCACCCCGTTACAACGCTTGTCTGAGGACTACAATCCGAGGTACGAAACGGCTACGCTATCCTCGAACACCTTGATTATTACGAATCGAGAAAAATTGTGTCCATAGCACTTGCGTCGGGTTCTATGAATTCTAGCATAAAGTGCTCGTTTACTCCCCAGAGGACTTTGTTCATATGTACCTGTTGTTTTGTTACAACTTCTGCTTCCTGTTACGCATTTACCTCTGGGAGGAATTTTTTCGTTCATCCAACTGCCCTTGCCATTTTTTTCTTTTTCCCGTTACACACATCCAAGGTCCAAGTTCATTAAACATCCCTTTTTATCACTTGATTTGTCACCCTGTGGTCCCACAATACTGGTATCATTGCCTTCTCGGAACCGAAACTCGTCTCACGGAAATGCATAACGAAGCTAGAGTTTGTTCTGGTGGTGATTTGAATTCTCTGAATATTGTCTTCCATCCGCTCTGAAGATGTCATCATCTCTATATCTCCAAGAAGTCTTTGGTTCTATCCCTTTTGCTTGGATTTTCAGGACGCCAATCCAGACTTATTATGAACAAGAGATCTTTACGTCTGTTAACCGACCTTCTTCATCTCTTCTCGTTTTCGGAAAATGGTAAATCAGAATTACCTCAGGTTTTTTGAAACTCAGTCACTGGATATAATTAATTAAGTGCGCCAAGTTGACGTCCAAGCTAACACGAATATAAAGACCGACGTCGTGGTAAAGGATACTCCATGGTTTACATTTTATTCCTGATATCACTTCTGAGACTATTCGTTCATGAAATCTTCTGGTCCTATACTTTTCCATTGTCAACTCTTCCCAAAAATAGAATCACTACACTCCATCAAACTCGTCCACTATCATTTAATCCCCCCTCATCTTCGAATCAACAAAAACAGAGTATCTATATAAGCCACATCTTCTGCCACCCTTGGGCCCAAACTAAAGGGAAGGAGTAAAGTCTAAAATTCAAATTGCCAACACCTCACTCTCATTCCATCCCTGCTCTTGATGCGTCCAAGAGAACTCTGCTCAAAGCATCTTAATGCTGTTGGAGTTACAAGATCATATTTCTGGCTCTCGGTTGTGATGCTACATATAACTCTATTGATCTAATGAAAGCCCCTAGGTTGTATCTTCGATACCAGCTTATTCTGAGATGTAAACCGCAATTAAATTGATAATTATCTATCTGCCGAAAAGAGCTCTCCTGAGTCTGAGAAACAGGATGTGGGATTAGTGGATATGCTCAGGAAGGGTAAATATTAGGCGGGTTGAATAGATTCAAATTAAGATGATCGCGTTACTCAAAATTGTGCTTGGATCAACACCCTGTTTGCTATATTCTTGGTCCAACGAAGGAATGGTCGTGGGTGAGGTTGGATGAATATTTCAAATATGATAGTTGTATTTAGTAATAGGAACATTGCGATGTATGATTCTACAAGTTTGTGAGGTAAGTACAGGTCTTTCATTCAAGTGGGACAATCTGTTGTTGCGAGGAAAGACAATGGGATATGAAAAGATAAAAGAGAGTAATTGAAAAATATCTTCAAAGCCATGACTTGTAAATTAGTAAATGTCAGGATGAATCCTCAAAAGAGATGGTCTGTAGTGAAAGGTACCGGTTCTTTTCAACTTGTGGCCATACCTCAACATGTAAATCACCATCACGCAAGACGGCACTTCACAATCCTCACCCCGCTGAAAATCAAGTCACTCATTCAAAAGATCTCATTCAACCAAACCACCCAACAGAGCTCTAATGTCTCAATCCCCAGAAACCCCGGCAACATGTCTCTTTTCATTCCCATCCGCAAAAACTCCCATCAATGACCCGCAATCTCAACAGCTATAAAAAGCCGGAGTGGTATAACTAAACTCAAAAGCTGCCGTCCAAACATCATCATCATCGTAATCTATCATGCCCTTCGTACCCGAAATTTTGTTGAACTCCTTGCAATGGTAAATTCGCCGTAGCCTCCTATTCACTTTTGCTCTGTTTTTTTACTTTCCCATAAGCGCCCAATTCGCCTAAAACCTCTCTATGTGACCCTTAATGTATGTTTCGACAACCCTAACTCGAACTTTGAACTTCACTGCTGCCTCGAGTGTCTCTAGATGCAATTGACCCAACACTGCCAGCACGCTTTTCAGAATCTTTCTTATGCGAAGCCATATGTCGCTTGAGCATATCCATCCTGTGATAGGATTTTGGACATCCTGGCACGGGACATTCGTGTACTCCACGCTCACCATGCGTCTTTCGATGTTTGGATAAATTTGAAGACTCCGAGAAACACTTGCCACATATCTCACATGCCAATGGTTTGTCTTTTGTATGGGTCCTCTCGTGGACAGCTGCGAGCAATTAGTTGATTTCATAAAAGGTGTATTCAAAGTTACATACTGCATGCGCTCTGTTGTGGAAACCGCTTCGTACAATACTTGCACTGCCATGGCTTTTCATTGCTATGCAGATTCATATGCTGCGCCAACGCTTGCTCTGCGGAGAAATTCTTATGACAAATGTTACATGTGCAGCATTTATCTACAAGTATTAGGAAGTGCTTATAAATCTTGGGAACAACACTTACAATTTGTGTGGGATGCCATATGTCGCTCCAATTTTCCCCGCTGCGAAAAGCCGCACTTCTCGTTTCCTCTTTTATCTGCACGAGTACATCCCTTCCAGCAGCATTTATATCCAGACTTCTTGTCTAGCGATGCTAGATGCTCTTTGACAATATGTTGGTGGAGATCAGGAGCCGACTCGAAGAATGAACCACAAGTCTTGCCCTCCACCCCTGACCATAAACAAACATGAGCATCATCATCTGCTTTCTGGACTGGGGGACTCATCACAGCTTCTACCAAAGTTTTCGCAGATGGTATTGTTTTCGGAACGAGTCCTGCTTGATGGTCGAGGTCAATCTCAGCCTCACCACCCTTGAGTAAATGCTGATGTGTGAGATGGGTTGAGAACTCGTTCAGGTCATTGAATGTAGTATTACATCTTTGCACTTCACATAGGAGTGAGCCCTGAGCAGGCATGGCATGAGCTCGGCTGAAATGGGTCTGGAACATGTAAGCATTAGGAATGACACGATCTGGATCGCAGTCTGGCGCTGGACACATCAATGGTTGAGATGGTGCTGTGAAATCGTAACCATGATTAGAACTCATATGGTTGAGGAAGTTTGGCGCAATGTTCTCAGGACAAGATTCTTGCTGAATAGGGCAATGAAGCGTCATCTGAGGAGCTACATGCGTGTCGAAACAGTGAGCTAGCCAATCCTCATTGTTCTGAAATCTTTCTTCGCAAGCCTCCCACGCACAAAGCATAGGAAATGGAGAGTTGTCCTGGTCATATTCCGAGTCTGTCCATTGATTGGCAACTGGAGGAGGTTGGAACGAAGCGCCCGCTCCAGAGAGAACTCCAAGGCTAGGATCGTATGAGTTTGATTGAGCGCCATAATTTGACGGCGTTTGTAGGCCAGTTGTTGGCGAGAAGGAGGTCGACATATTGACAGCAGAAGGTGTGGTTGCCATTGGTGACTGTTCTACCGAGCTATAATGTATGCCACTATAGAGACCGTAAGACTGATCAACGTTATTCTCCATATGGGTTGGACCCATTCGAGGCGACTGCGGATTCCAAGCATTTTGGGTGGAATTGGTCCAATCTTGTAGTCTCGATTCCAAAAACCCATCCGAATTGGTTGCAGATTCTCTGTTCCTTGGTGTATCATCATGCTCAGGGCAGGAACACTTTGGTATGCCACAAGCACACTCTCCACAAGATGCCACTACTTCCTCTGCACACTCCGGATCGACACATGGCTCCCCATCAGAGCAACTGCTACAGCAAGTGCTTTGAGAACCAGTCTGGGAGAAGCATTTGTCGACAACTTGACATTCATGCTTGGTGGCCTCGGGATCAATTCTGACCCTCTTCGCAGTAGAACGATCGAAAGACTCGACCGGCGTTGGATGTGTGATAGGGCGCGCAAACATGGCCTGAGTAGAGATGTCCCGAGGATTCGAGTTGTATCGATGAGTGAAAGCCGGACTCATGGGCCCAGACAGACTTGGAGGCCGCGCAGCCATTACTGATTGAGGCATGTCGCCGACTGATGGTTTGCCCTCGGATCTCTTGTCGGCTTCGAAGTGCGGGAAGCTGTCAAAAGCGATGTTTTGCTGAAACTCGGGATACTGATATCCTTCCGACGTGAAGAAAGGATCCGTGTCGTTCGCAATAGTCCAAATGTTGGATATATCATCCGGGAAGCCGTAGGGCTGACCCTGTGACACAAATTCCTGAGATTCCATGGTCAATATATTGTCCGTGAATCAATACCCTTCCAAACAATCCCGTTGCAATTCGAGCCCGACAGCAGCGGTCGGGTGAGAGAAGGTGAAGCAACAGAACGCAAGTCAAGTGACAAAGAGGTCGTTGGGTAGATAGAGCGGAGCGAGCAAAGTAATGATTCCGCTCTTGCCAAAATTGCAGCACATGTGCTTGCTTGACGCAAGATCTACCGCTTTGAAAACATTTTCCGCATAGAATAGTTGGACATCGAATGGGGGGTAGCACGAAAGAGAGCACGTACTTGCTGGGTCCCTGCCTTTGGGGGATGAGATCAGTGGTAGGTATCCATCCGGGTGCTCAGAGATTCGAAAAGTGCTCGGCCAGTAGCGCACGCTGATTGTTCAGCCAGCACGTGCGTGGAACAAAGGAACAGACGCCTCGATGATGACTCGATAAGACCGCGGGGTGCAGGTGGTCAAGACGAAGATGATGAGAATAATATTCTACGATGGGAGAGAAAGAGCAGAATATTGCCCATTTGCGAGGGGAAGACGAGGTCGTCAAAATACATAAAGCGGCTTCCAAGGGTAAGTATGCCACATTTTTATACTATTGCTCTACAAAGTCCGAATCATGAATCCCAAGTTCCATCTCAGTGAGCCTGCAATTACCAAAACTTATCCCGTCAACTTCCTCGTACCAGGAATACACCGTGAGTTATATCAGTTCCAAATAATTTTCCCGCCGCTCTACCCACCAACAACCACCCAAAGTCAACAACAGAAGCAGGCATCGTCGGCGGACCGGCGTCTCGACCCCTCCACCGCTTATCGATTGTCCTTTAAGTAGTCAATCGACCGCAAGTTGTGTCACAGGACGGGATGAACCTCATATTCAATCAAAGAGACTTGGAAATCCCACACAATCACCTCCTGCACATTTATCCGAATCCCAATGCCAAACCCTCGGAATCACCCACGCGCATAGCCAAGCCACCCAAGAACCCGCGTCCTCCACCTTCCTCATCCAAACCGCAATGCGCCATTCCCTATAACGACCTATCCCACCACCGTTGCCCATCTCCCACCTAAATATATAATTTCTTCCCACTTCAACCCAGAAGATGGGCAACATATGCGGCAAATCCTCCTCTGACGCCTTCGCCCAACCCGGCCGCACGCTCTCATCTGCCCCTCCGCAAACCACAAACCCCACCGCGCCGGTACCGAAATCGCGAACCGTAGGTGGACCGGCGAGGACGCTGGGAGATGCGAATTCGAATGCCGGAGGTAGCGCGCAGGAGGATGCGCGGAGGAAGGCTGCTGAGGCCGCTGAGGTACGTTGCGCAGGTTAATAGGGTGAAGATGATTGACTGATATGAGCGAGTAGGCAAGAGCGAAAAGTGCGGGTAAACCGAAAGGAAAGCTAGGATCACAATTACAGGAGCAGAAAAGACAGACGCAGACGGATACGTTGAAGGAAACCAGTGAAGCTACGAGGAGGATGAGAGATGCGGATTCGGCAGCCGAGACGAGAGCTTACAATTGATGAGTTACTGGCTGATTGAGCTTAGAGTTGGGGACTTGTCATAAAGAACATTGCTGGGGGATTGAATATTGATAATCGTCGATGTTATCGCTATTTAAAGGGCCAATGTATATCCAAGAGGTCATGCAATATTAAGCCCGAATATGTGCTATACTAGACAACATTATACCTACCGCTCGCAGGTGCTCTACCTTCAGCATCAGCTGCAGCCATGGTACCCTCCTTGAGCAGTCTCATCAACTCCCTCATGGCGTTTGTCACTACAACCTCCGTGTCACCTTCCACCAAGATGTACAATTTCGGGTCGCCCCCAGCAGGAACCTCCTTTCCGGCTGCGTAGAAACTACCTTTCGTGGTGATAGATGTACCCGTTGCCTCTAGGATCTTGGCCACATTTGTGCGATTCGTAACAGCCCATCTTGCTTTCTGAGGAAAGTCATTGATTTCAAGCGTCGCATGGAACGCTCCAGCATCCGGACCTTTGTTATCGATTGGAACACCTGACCGCAGTTGGCCGGTCTTGTTCAGGCGCGCGTTGATTTGCTCAATAGCAGAATTGACCTGTTCCAGCTTATTCTTGGAGCCAGAAACTGTAGCAGCTTCGGTGCGATGGACCGTGATCTTGCCATCCAAGTCAATCCCTTTCGGAACACCAAACAGCTGTGGCGCAGGGGCCGCAGATGCTGGTTGTACAGTAGAAGCAGCTTTGAGAACCACGTCGTCATCTCCCACTTTTTCCTCTTTATCATCTTCATCATCGCCATCCGTTTTGTGAGTTTTTCGCTCCCGAATTCTTGTCGCTTCGCGGTCCGCATCAAGACGTTCCAAGCCCTTTCCGCCAAACCCTGAGCTATCTTTTGACTTACCACTCTTGACCTTATCTCGGAAAGACTTTCGCATCTCATTAAGCCGATCAGGGACAGGTTGTCCAGATTGTTCGAGCGCTTTCGCGATGCCGACAGAGAATTGTTCTTGATCTTCAGTGACGAAGGTCACAGCGGTGCCGGTATTACCAGCTCGGCCAGTCCGTCCAGCTCTATGAACATAGTCTTCCAAGTGGTTCGGAGCGTCAAAATTAACGACTAGTTTTAGTTGCTTTACGTCTAGGCCTCGAGCCGCAACAGAGGTAGCAATCATGATAGGAATAACTCCAGCCTTGAAATCATCAATGGTGGAATCCCGATCGATCTGATCTTTGCCTCCGTGAATTGACATGCATGGATAACCTTTCCGCATCAAATCCTTCAGCAGATCGTCGGCTTTTTCCTGTCGATCGACGAAGATTAAAGTGCGAGCATCTTCGTCCTTGTCATAAAGTTCCCCGAGGAGTTCCAAAAGCCGGTGAAATTTCTCCTTCTCCTCTCGAACTTCGACGATTTGGGTTATTTCAGGTGCAACAACGCTACGTCCTCCTACAGTGATTTCTACTGGCGAATTCAGAGTCTTCTTTGCCAAAGCGTCCATGATTCTAGGCATTGTGGCCGAGAAGAGGATCGTCTGTCGGTCTGGCCGAATGTTCGCAAATATTTTCATGACTTGCGGTTCGAAACCCATGTCGAACATGCGGTCTGCCTCGTCTAAAACAACATAGGTGACACGACGAAGATTGGTGACTCGCCCAGAATTTGCAGCGAGCAAATCAATCATACGACCCGGCGTACAAACAATGATCTCGGCTCCACGCTTGAGATCTGCAATTTGATCTTTGATAGGAGCTCCACCATATGCACATACTGCACGAAGACCCATAGCTCGTAAGAAAGGTTTGCATTCCTTATGGATTTGAGTAGCAAGTTCTCGCGTGGGAGTCATAATAAGCCCAATAGGACCATCAGATCCTTCTAGTGGTTTCTGATCTCGAATATGTCGAAAGATAGGTAGCATGAACGCAATTGTCTTACCAGAACCAGTCTTGGCCACGCCGATGACATCTCGTCCGGACATAATCGCTGGAATCGCTTGCATCTGGATCGCTGTCGGTCTATCATAGCCCAATTTCCGGATGACATCTAGTGATTGAACATTGAGACCGCATTGGGACCACTTTTGTACAGGCTTTGGAACGTCCTTACCGGCAACTTTAATTCCATCAAGCTCAAGACGTAAATCAGCAAGCTCAGTCTCCGTCATGTCCGCTAGCTCGGCAGGTTCGGTATAGAAGTTTTTGCGGAATGGTTCCAGGTCAATTTTTGAATAGTTGATAGTAGGTAACTCCTTCTTTTTCCTTGATTTGCTTGCCATCGCAAGGATATCGTCTGGGTCTGCTTCGATGGCTTTTAGTTCAACATCATCATCCCCGAACAAGGCTTCTGGCTCTTGTTGACGGATTTTTCCTTGACTTTTGTTGAAGAATCCCGTATTCGTCGGGGCTGCAAAAGGATCACCCATCGCATCCATATAAGCGTCCAAAGGGTCAACCTCGTCAATCTCATCGGGCACCGATATCTCAACCCCAGAATTGGTTCCGTTGGCCATAACCGTATCCCCTTCAGTAACAGAGGGTTTAGACCTATCGGGTGTTGTTTTTGCAAGGCTTTCTTCTTGAAGTCTCTCTTCGCGCTTTTCGGCTGCGGCTCTTGCGGCGGCTGCGGCTTCCTCTTCGGTACCAGCATCTTCCATATCAACATCATCGTCTTCCTCTCCTTCATCAACGTTAGCGAGCGCAGTAGTATCATCCTCGGCGATTGCCAGTGACAGGGTGGGTAGCTTTTCTAATTTCTTCCTTCCCCCCTCGTCCTCACCAAAATCCAGGGTTCGTTTCGATGAAGACTTATCACTTTCCTGACCTGACTTGACACTTAAACCGAATCCACTGAGATTTGCTCTCGCTTTTGGTAGTGCAGATACTGGATATTTTTGTGATTAGTAGCTATTCACACTAGATTACTGAGAAATGAAATCGGCTTACCAGTAGGATTGCTGCCAAAAGATCTTGGCTTAATGTCAGATTGTGACCCTTTGACCGAGGAAGGTAAGATGGCGGACGCTTTGGTCAATCCCTTCAATGGTACATCATTTCCTAAAGCACCCGTGTTGCCCGAACTGGCTACAGCCTTCTTAGCAATTGCTTTTGGGTCAAACTTTCCGGCATAAGGTGCGGGCGAAGCAACATCCCCTGGCGTACTCGGTGACGTTGGCGACGCAAGAACGGGAGCATCGCTGGCTTTTTGTTCAATTATATCTGAGGGTTTTTGCGATCCAGCAGCTGCTTGTTCTTTCTCTCTCCGCTCCTTTTCCTCGGCCTGCTTTCTTTTCCATGCTTCCAGCTTAGCTAGCCGCTCAGCCTTCTTCTCAGCCTCCGTTGGCCCTGGAGGTAACGTAGGCTTCGACACCTGTTCGGAGGTATTAGAAGGAGTATACACCTGAGAGTGTGATGGGCGACTGACCTCCGCAACTTTGGCACTTTCCGATTTACTTGTTGGCTTTCCACGATGCCCATCTTCTCTGCTACGGGACCAGTCAGTAGAGTCCCTGTGGTGCCTTGAAGCTCTATCATTAGAGTCATCTCGCCTGTCTCGATAGTCGCGTTCGCGGCTTCTGCGCCGCCGTCTGTCTGGCGATCGGTCTCGATCGAAACGCTCCCTACGGTCTCTACTTCGGTCTCTTCTACTAGACCTGTAGTAATCGTCCTCTCTGCGGTCTACAGAGCGGTCTCTTCGTCGAGTGGAATCGCGGTCTCGGTGTCGGCGCTGCTCACGACTTTTGTCAGAAACCCGACCATTTGTACCACCACCAGAAAATCTTACGTCCAAACTTCTCGAACGGCTTCGTCTCCGCGCACCGCGCCCGTCTTCGTCTCTGCGTGGTCGGTCTCGTTTGACATCTTCGTCTCGTCTTTGTCTTTTAGAAGAGTGCTGACTTCCTGCTGGCGATGGTGAGCGAGTGTTCCTGTGGCGGACCATCTTTGCCTCGATGAACGGCAGATATACTCTGGCAAAATGACTGGTCGCTCCAGTCTACAGCCCAAGCCAAGGCTTCTACTTGGTCGGGGAACAGGTGTCGATATTGTCCACTGCCTGATGTCGTTGAGGCTCCAGACGGAGTATGTGTGGGGTTTGCCTATGGATATGCGAGTTGCTCGAATATCCATGATTAAGGTTGTCCCTTTTCTTGGCACGCTAACTCAAAAACCGCTAGCGCAAAACAGAGCTTCAACTCGCCGACAGCCCAAGCGCGTGTGAGAGAACGCAAAGGGGCTGGGACACCGGCAACAGATAATTCGACATCAAAACTCTCCTCTCCCTGACGCCGACTCACCTCACCCCAGACCTATCTCAATTTTTTACGAAAACCTCGCTACGACGTTGGCGGTCCGCATCATGTTATCCAGCATCGGACGCGCCGCGATTCGACGCACCGGAGCCAGAGCTTTAGCACCAACCGATCCAGTTCGTCAGGGCATCTGGCAGCTTAAACAAAATGGTCAACCAGAATTCAAAGCCCCGCTGTCTGCTCCAGCTTGCACCTTTCGAGCCTTTGCAACAGCTACAAAAAGTACTACCAAACCTGCAACCACGAAGGCCCAAAAGCCATCTACAAAAGCCACCAAGGCGCCCGTGAAGAAGCCTAAAAAGAAGATCGCGTCAAAGGCGAAGCCGAAACCAAAAGCAAAGCCAAAGGCCAAAAAGCCGGCCAAACAAAAGAAGAGAGGTCTCACCGACCTTCAAAAGATTCACCTGGAGAGAAGGAAAAAGGCAACTCAACTGATTGAATTGAAAGCCCTCGCTCTCTCCGCCCCTAAGCCTTTACCACACACAGCTTGGCAGGTATTTTTAACAGAAACCAATACGCTTAAGGGACCCAGCACACTGGCGGAGCAAGGCGAAAAGATGAAAAATGCCGGTGTTAAGTTCAGGGACCTCTCACCTGCTGAATTGGAGGTAATTCTAAGCTGTCAGCCCTCGCTCTTCGCTTGCTGACAGATGCACTAGTTCTACAATCATAAAGCCAACGAAGCGAAAAGTGCTAATTTGGTAGAATACAAGAAATGGGTCCAGAGCTTCACTCCAGATCAGATCAGATTGGCGAATAATGCCCGCAGAATGCTTAACAAGAGGATTTCAAAGCCGACAAGGCTTGTGCTTATACATGACGATAGAATTCCAAAACGACCAGCAAACGCTAACGGGCTATTTCTGAAGGACAGGTACGCTAGTGGAGATTTCAAGGGCATCCCTATGGGTGAGTCGATGAAACTTGTTATGGCTGAATGGGCTGCGCTTCCGCCGGCAGAGAAGAAGGTTAGTGCATTAGAACCAAAAGATTTGCGAGCCATTCTAATATGTCTCTAGGTTTACGAGGACCGCCGATCTGCTGAGAGTCAACGATACCAGCAAGAGTTTAAGACGGTCTTCAACCATGAACCCGGTCGCCCTGTGTCAAAAGCTACTGCTTAGTCGGTGTAGATGTTGTATACTATATGTCATGTGTAATTTTCTTTGATCGTGATGGGTTTTGGGCGGCCCCCAGTCAGGTGCCATGGCGTATCGAGTTCCCGAAGAAGTCAAGTAAAGCCGGTGCTTAGTCGGCAACGTACGCTCTGTATAGAGTTCACTATTCCCTATACGTGTATCTCCTTGTTACATGAAGTAAATCTCGGTGGATCCGAGGGGGTGTAAGATATAAGTCATATTGTGACGACTCGGTTTCCATCAGATAGTTAAATAAATGAGCGTTCCGTAACTCAAGCCAAGCTAGCAATGTGAAACTATCAGTTAATTTCAGAGGCCTATATTGTAGACTCCTTTGATATCTAGAATTCGTTGTTCTCTTTCTGGAGTCTAGAAATATCCCTCATTGTTTTCGTCACTTCTTATGATATTAGGATGTCAATGAGACTCCCTTGGTGAATGTATGTAGCATACATTATGTAGCATACATGCATCGTCTAACAGAAAGACACCTTGGAACATTCAGATTCCAGTATTAAAACAGCTTCAACATGTGGATTTATACCAGCAGCATAAACACATCCCGGTAGATCTCAACCTGTTCAAGCAAAGTTATAATGTGAATTGTGGACCTCATAGCTCGTTATGACCTGAGGACCATCTAGGTGACATATGTCGTTCACAGCTCTGTTACACAAAATAATTAATAAGAAATAGACGTCAACAATATACGTAAGTAAAGTTGAGAGAACAAAATCAAATGCAAACAAGGGAAGTCTTGATAACAATAGCCTACTAGAGTCTCTCATCTCACTCTTGGCGAAACAGTCTTCAATAGTGCATTGACACCTGAGGCTAGAACTACCCCTCTAGCTAGGACAGGGAATCTCGACCCCAAAGTCTCTCCCTCTAACCCACAACACCAGCGTCGGAATCTTCCCACGACACAAAGACACAACATTGCCAATATACGGGCAGGTGCTACCTTGGCACTTGCTTACAGGTATTGCGCACCATGGAAGATTTCAATAGCGAAACCGATAGTGACTATACAAGTTACTGGAGAGACTGGGTAAGTTGGAACGTTTTCATTTAGACTTTGTGCGCCATGCGCGCTTGCTTGTGAAGATTCTATGGCACAACCCCAAGAGGGTAGGAGGACGAGTGCGACCGAGATACAAGATCGTTTTGAGCGTCACGAGGATGATCCAACCTACGCAACTACGACGTTCCTAGTCATACGATATCAAAGGTCGCAAAAGCATGGAGATGGAAACCACCCAAAGACAAGGCCATCTAATACACTGAAAGTCAAGGCTTTAGTGTACGAAGTATCGTTGAAGCAAGCAAACAACTGGGGTTCAGTGGGACATCAAGCAGCTCCTCCTCGTCCGAACAAAAGCTCTCCGCGTCAGCACTCTCATGGAATAGATGGTGGGGTCCAAGTGTCAGACGACTTGTTGCAAATAATTGCAAAGAACCTTACCCAGAATCTATACCGTACAAGACCTGGTCGCTCGAAATCGCGATCAAGGAAGAAAGGGACCAGGCTTGGTCGGCCCCGTAGATCAGATCCGCGAACGACAATATTTGCAGCCCGGGAGAAGAGCAGATCTCATCTGTCTAGGTCCATGAATGCGTTTAGCAAACCTGGAGATTTTGAAGCCGACGTACTTATTGTTTCTTTTACATCACCGGCTCTTGTAAACATGCTAACAAATTCATGAACAGTTTATCTCGTCACGAGGCAACGAGTACTTTTGCGAGATTGACGAAGATTATCTGACCGATAGATTCAATCTGACTGGGCTCAATACGGAAGTTCAATACTATCAATATGCTCTGGACCTTGTCACGGACGTTTTCGACTTGGATTGCGATGATGAGATGAGGGAGACTATAGAGAAATCTGCGAGACACTTATATGGACTTGTTCATGCAAGATATATAGTGACTACTAGAGGCCTAGCAAAGATGGTATGAACATTTGTTCCATCATTGGGATGTCAAACTAACACAACGTCTCGTAGTTGGAAAAGTACAAGAAGGCCGACTTTGGCAAATGTCCTCGAGTGGCTTGCAAATCGCACCCCCTTCTCCCTATGGGCCAATCAGACAACCCAAATATCAAAGCGGTCAAACTCTACTGTGCTAGATGTGAAGACATTTACAACCCCAAGTCCTCTCGCCATTCAGCGATAGATGGTGCATATTTTGGCACATCCTTCCACAATATCATATTTCAAGTATATCCTGCGCTCATACCCATCAAAAGCTACGAACGATACACCCCTAGAATTTACGGGTTCAAGGTTCATGCACCAGCATCTTTGATACGCTGGCAACATTCGGAAAGAGATGAAATGAGAAAAAGGCTAAGAAAACTGGAAATAGAAAGCGGATTCAAAGATGATGAGGAAGATGTTGATGCGGAAGATTCAGAGGAAGAAGATGAAGATGAAGAGGCCGATATGGAAGCGATTGAGAATGGAACGGTTGAAGCAGGATCTGTTAACCCAAATCAAGTCTGAGTTGCCGGTGGACTCTTTTTGACGAGACCTGCAAAGAGTGATTCGCTTCTCAGGTAATCACATAGGGAAGGGCTGTGGGTCTTGTGGGTGTGGGCATGCAGGGACCATGAAATGCACTGTTTGGCGTTGGGAAATGGACATAATGGCGTATGTGGGATTGGCTTGGGCCGACTCCTATTAGACGGTTTTCGATTACGCGAGATTTGATAGCAACTTCATGTTCAGGTTCTAATCCCCACTTTGTTTGGTCACAAGTGATGACAGCTAAACGTTTTGTTTTTGAAAGCCAAAGTAGAGCCTGTCCGTCTACTCGCGACATGGTCCCGGATAAGATCTTGCTTGTATGAATTATTTCCATCCGTTGGCTGCATTACTCGCAAACATCTAAATCTACATATTACCCAAAGCCATAAATTTTCCTACATTATTAACAACCAAACTCCCAATCCCCTCACACCCTCTCCCTAACTCCCCTCACTACCCAAAACCACCTCCCCATCAACACGATACCAATTCGCCCTCGCATCGCCCAGACACTCACCCACCGTCACCCCCCTATATCCCTCCCTTTGCATCCCCTGCAACATGTACTCTACCAGCACCTCGCTCGTCTGGTTGTGGATATCGTGGCCTATCACTAGAAAATCATCTGTCGCGGAGGATTTCCCGGCGAGAGCGGCGTCAAATATGGTTTTGGAGTTGGAGATTAGCGTGGGTGAGTCGTTGAGGTAGTCGGATGTGTCGAGGTCCTGTTGGGGTGTTAGCTTGAGGAAAGGGGGGAGAGAGGGAGGAGAGAGGGGGGAAAAGGACGTACGAAGTATGTTATGTGATAGCCTAGTTCTTCCATGTCTGCTTCGCAACCACATTCTGTTTCATCAGCCTAGTTCTTAGATTTCGGATATCGACAACTTACCGGCGGTACAACTTGAATACGGTGGACGCATATATGTCGGTATAGAACCGATTACATTCCGGATCGCCATTTCACTCTTGAACATTTCATTTTTGCGCTCGGTGGAGGTGATGTTGCAGAGGTCGGCGTGGGACCAGGTGTGGGATGCTATTTGGTGGCCTTCGCTGTTCATGCGTCTAGGTCTTGTTAGCTCTGAATTTTTATGAGACGGGGAGGACGCACTGGAGAAGTGCAGGCCATGGAAGTGATATGTTGTCGATTTGTCCTTTTCCTGTTTTTTGATCAGCGAATTTTCTAGGTTTTGTAGAAGGGGACATACCGTTATTGTTCCCAGTAACGAAAAATGTAGCACTAGAATTATATTCTTTTAACAAATCCAGGATATGGCTTGTGTAGATATATGGTCCGTCATCGAATGTAAGTGCCATATCCCCAGCAACTGCACAATCATAGATACCCGCAGAGCCATATAATACATCTCCGATTTTTGTACGTGGGATAGATGATGTGTTTGTGCCTGCGGGAATGGCATTGGCGTCACAGGCGGGTCCGAAGTTGAACTGGCAGTCTGGTGCTTTACAGAAATCTGGATTGTGTAAGTGAGAGTTATGAGGTAGGTAGGGAGATATATACCAGGTCCAGTGCCGCAGAATCCAGCTAATGAGCAACATTCAGATGCTATACAATTTCCCTTTCCAGGTCCGCATTCTCCGCCGGATCCAGCACTGTCCCCATCTGAAGTAGTAGTTGTGGTATTGCAAGTTCCAAATCCGGATTGACTGAAAGATCAGTTAGCTTTTAGTATTGCAAACAATTAGAGGATAGAAACAAAACACATACCATCCATTCGAAGCAAGACAATACGCATCAGTTGATCCACACCAGCCATTTACACTACAGCAAGGCAAATCCGTAGGACAAGTGAAAGCACTAGGACTTCCTCCCGATCCAGTAGTTCCACAACTATTATCCGTCGAAATATCTCTTGGAATCAGTACGCCTGCTGAGACTAGATGAATCGTCGTCGCCAATATCGCTGTTGAGGTAGTGAGATACATCTCGGTCCCTTGTGAGGCTAGGCGAAAGATACAACAAGAATCCTAATTTTTCAAAGCGAATGTAAAGCAACGAGCGTAAGGCAAAAAGAACCTACAATTCTTACCATCTCAAACAGCAGCAGACTCACTAATAAGAACCCATACCACAGACCCCCTTCGTCATCCGAAAAACGGTACATCTCGAAACCAAACACCGACCTAACCGTGCATAAGAGCTCCTTGGTATTTACCCACCATTACGAATCAGATGTGCGGGAGAATTCGTGAGCTGAAGAAGGGATGGCTGGTGTATGTAACACGCATTAAGGCGTATATTGTTTAGGCGAAGCATCTGGTGTTGTGAGGTTTTGACTCGAAAGAGTTGATGCTCGGTGCAGATACTGCGTATGCACGGAATCGAAACCCTGAGTAGCATTCGGCTGGGACGCATCGAGTGCTTGGAGTTTGGTAGTCATCCAACCTCGCATTACCAAATCTATAGTAATCGTCCCAACCTCATAATGCACGTCTTTATCCTTCCCAGCCCTCTCTTCCTCAACCTGCCATTTCACAAATATACATCTTCACAACTCGAATCTTCAATCCCCACGTGACAACAATAACAGCAACTAATTGTTGCACGTCGTAATATTCCAAACGTGCTATGAACGTGTTTCGCGCGTGGAGTTCGGAGACTTGGAAACGAGGTCGAGGATGATCGGTGGGGTCCAAACATCTATTTTCGAACTAAGCGACTTTTGGTGTAGATTTTGGGGCTTGGGCCGGGGATTTTCATGGGATATCCCGATGAAAATGGGAGCTTGTTTCTGGCTATCTTCGGTGAGATTTGTTATGTTTATGAGGAAAGAGACACGCGTGGTGTTTTGGTTGGAAATTGATTTGGTTTTGAATGTTCTGTCGTTTTGATGATTTTGGGTCGAGCCGAGGATGTGGGTCAGGTGGATTCGAAAAATGATCTTGTACATAAATATGAGAAGACATTTACACATTGCACTCTACTTTATAAGTAGATATATATACAATATATACATTTTTCGCTCTCATCATCTCAAACTATATACAATCTCTCAAGCTATATATACACTCCGCACCACCTTCCTCCTCTCATAAATGCCAGATACTTCTAATTCTTCTTTCCATCAAGATCCGAAAAGAATTCGTATCCAAATCCCTTGCTTGCATCATTGAATCTCAACTTCTTATCGATACCAGCAATCTTCTTCAAGTCATCCTCGTCAAGCTTGAAGTCTCCCTCCAGATTCTGCTTGATTCTTGAAGGAGTCTTGGACTTCGGAATCACGCTGTGGCCCATCGCAATACCCCAGGCTAGGGCGACTTGGGCACCGGTTTTGTTGTGCTTTTTGCCGATTTCGACGAGGACTGGATCATCCTAAGGAACGTTAATTGAATTGAGGTATCTATCAAGATAGAAGACTTACCATTAGTTTACCCATGTTTTTTCCAGAGTCGTAGATCTCATTTTGGTTTCCAAAAGGAGAGTATTGAGTGATGTGGATTCCCTTGCTCTTGTTGAAATCCACAAAGTCCTTCTGTTGTAACCATGGGTGCAGCTCAAGTTGATGAGCAGCAGGAACGACGCTAGTTTCCTTCAGAAGATGCTCCAACTCTGATCGAGAGAAGTTGGAAATACCAATTGCCTTGGTCTTCCCAGATTTCAACAACTTCTCCATAGCTTTGTACGTATCAACGTATGAGATATCTGCAGTTTGCATCTTCCCGTCAACTTTTCGCATCAGTTCGGAACCAGGCTTGAAGGCGGATGGCCAATGCATGAGATAGAGATCAACATAATCGGTTTGAAGATTCTTCAACGAGCTGTCTAATGCTGGCTCGACGTCCTCTGGTTTATGGCTGTTGTTCCAAAGCTTGGTTGTAATAAAGATTTCAGAACGTGGAACACCACTGTTTTTGATGGCGCTTGCAATCATTGGCTCAGTACCATAGACTCGAATGATTATTAGCTAGAAACTCTGCAATAAAGAGGTAATGACTTACTTGCAGCACCGTCAATGTGCCTGAACCCAGCCTTGAGAGCTTCTGAAACTGCCTTCTCTTGGTCATCTTTGTCTTGCCATGTCCCAAATCCGACAGCTGGAATTGAAGCGCCGGTATTGAGCTTGTGGTGTGTAACTGATGCCATACTGCGGAATTGATTGCGTTGAATGTGTGATGTAATTTGATTTGCTCTTGAAGCTGTAGATGCTATCGAAGTGATTCTTGAACGAGAAAACATTTTGAAGTGATGAATTGACAGGTCTACTACTGTTCAGACGGCCCCAAAGGTAGCTCCACCAGCTCTACAATTACTGCTTTGTGCTACGTCAGGAGTGCCTCGGTCGAATGACGTCGGCGATGAGGTCCGCCATTTTAGGGGTCCTACGATCGTCAATTAGGTAAGTTTGAAATCAATTATTGCAAGATAGACGTAAATTCGAAAGATTCATCTTTCGTAAATCGAATGCCAATTGAGGAACCCTTAGAAATCACTTTCGAGGGAGGTGTTTTCAAAACATATCAAAATAGTTGTACTCCGCACGCAACGGCCCATTCTGCAACGGGCCGCCTGCAGTGAGATGTGTTTGTCCGCCACGGCCTGAACCTCAAATTTTGAGCCACATCTGGCGGGGACCCTCAGGTTGCCTGAGCCACAAGCCTTACCGCATTTCTGTCCCTGTGTCAGACGGTCAAAAGAAACATGCAGGATCTAACTGTTCTCAAATACCTACCGTTTCAAATGCTGAGTAACTCGAAATGAATTGTATGAGCACGACTATACCTTCCTTCAAAGCCTTACCTGTCACCCGTTATCTTGAATTAATGGAACAAGAACACAGTCTCGTGGATATGTTGTTTCAGCTCCACCTGTCAGCTCTTCAACGAGATCTTGTGCTGGCCAGTCAAATGCTTTATGTCGGAAACCGTGCATAGAAAAATATAGGAGATGACCTGGCAAGTTGTTGGCAATTGACGTGAGTGCCGAATGCGTGCAGCGCCTTTGGCTTTCTTCAAGTCGGCCTCGAGCGGTCAGCTATTGCAATGTCTTGCTTCTGTCCCATGGAATTGGCCTGAGTCCATAAAGGAGTTGTATTGATGGATCGAGGGAAGCAAGCTCCCAGCTTGAGAGTGAATTATTCAGCTAAGGCGTTCCATTGGATTGTCCGTCGTCCAATCTCTCAACCCCGAACTCGATCGTGTTCGGAAAAGCAAAGTTTGGACGGAGTGCGATTTCACAGTCTTGTCCCAACAAGGAACCAAATTATTACCCAGCTGTAATTCAAGGTTGTACAGTAAGAAACGATTTGCCTTGATGAAAGTAATTGGACGCTTCGAATAGCGAGTGGCCGCACCGTCAAGTTTGTACTAATATCGTATTAACTCAGCCTTCAGTGGTACGCGTCCATGAGCGTAGATGGCTGCGAACTGAAGATTGATTATTATTGCCGATTTTTAGAGTTCACACGACCAGGTCTGGCAGGGGACGCTACTGCCTGATGATTCAAAGGATGCAAGCCTGATGAACAAAGTCATTTATTAATACTTGGAAATCTAGAGGAATAATCGGGTTTGAGGGGTGAAAGACAACAATGAATCTTGGAATATTCACAGAAAGAAATAACCGCCCCGATTTAGAAGCGCGGCGATCTTCTCCACGATGAAAACAAAGCAGAGCAGACCGACCGCCAGCAGCCGGACCATAGCAACTTCATACGCACCAGTTGAACCGACTTCAAACCAACAGCGCTCGCTTCTCTTCACTGCCACAATCCTCCCCCTGTCTCCAACTTTCTCCAACCAAAATCCCCTCGATTGGGTAATCCTCTCACGTGCGTCAGCTCCAGTTACGGGAGTCGTCTCGTCGCTCCCCAGGCCTGCCCGCCTCCTGCCTGCACTTGGCGCATGTTAGTGGCCATTCGAGCCATTCACGACGCGTGTAGCACGCTGGGCAAGATCCTCACTCTCAAAGGCGCTTTGTCTCACCTCCCGAAAAGTCTTGGACGAGTTGGTCCCAAAAAGAAGTCAAGGGCGCGAGACGTGGAGGCTGACTTAAGACTACAGGTATTTCCTAATTGCCGCATTCTCGAGTGCGTGCTTTCCATCTTTCCACCACGAAATTCCTCCCCCAGATATCTATGAACAACACCATACATTGCTGAGTAGCATCTCATAATTCGAAGCATCCTCCTCTTTTCCTTCCTCTCTCTCCCATATTCTCTCCGCCATGCGGCACAACCTGCGGTCTCGAGGACCTTCAGGTCGAATATCCGTCGCACTCATCCTCAGCTATGTCTTTGACTGGTTCATCATAATTGCTGCCGCAGGAATTGGAGCTGCGCTCGCAAACATCACCCCGAACAAACGACCGTTCTCCCTCATCAATCCCGAAATCAGCTTTCCCTTTGTCACGCAGGAGAAGATCTCGACGGTCAACTTGGGATTGACCTGCCTCGTTGCGCCCGCAGTCATCATCTTTATCGTCTCGATCCTCCTTGTTCCTGGACCGACAGTATCCAAGTCAGTACCCAAATCGCTCATATGGCGGAGGAAGATATGGGAATGGCACACAGGATGGCTTGGATTGGCATTGTCACACGCAGCCGCCTTCCTCATCACTCAGGGCATGAAGAATCTGTTTGGAAAACCAAGACCTGATCTTCTTTCCCGATGTGACCCAGACCTGTCAAAGATTGCTCAATTCCGCACAGGAGGGTTTCTTGCAGATAATGGAGAAGCGCCCACTGGAACACCTCTGCCTGTTCTTGTAAACCATGGCATTTGCCGCAATACAGACAAGCATATCATGGACGATGGTTTCCGCAGTTATCCCTCCGGACATGCTTCGTTCGCAGCGGCAGGCATGATATATCTGAGTTTATATCTTGCCTCGAAGCTCGCTGTCAGCGTTCCGTATCTAGCACCGAAATCATACAGTACAGATGATCTACATACGTCCGCCTTTCCATCTCGTACGGAGAGAAGAGCATCAGAAAGATCTACCATTAAGCCGCATTCTCAACACAACGATAATGAACCAACCGGTCACGATGACAGAATTATTGCGTCTCGAAATGAAGCTGCGGCCCCTCCAGTCTATCTTCTTGCTATTGCGATAATACCCTGGTTCGCGTCAATATACATTGCATCTACACGATACTCAGATTTCAGACACCATGGCTTTGACATCCTATTTGGTTACTTGATTGGACTAGTCACTTCCATCTTCGCATTCAGATATTACCATCTCCCCATCCGTCAAGGCGCAGGTTGGTCATGGGGACCACGCAGCTCCGACCGAAGTTTCTGGGCTGGCATCGGTGTTGGAAATTACGCAGGATCAGGTAGTCCAGTGACGGAAGGAGCAGTCAAGGGATCAGCGGATCTCGAAAACGGTGGCATGGAGCTTTCCGAGAGACACGATACGAACGAAGCTACAAACGATGTGGGTGCCGCCGCCGGAAGGAGAAAGGACGCATTCTAAAAATGTGGTCGCTTTGTTTTTTGTCTTGTCTGTGTATTAACACTTATTGGTAGGATTATATCGAGTTACTCTCGCAAGGTCAACGACGATCTGCCGAGAATCATAATACTGCGAAGCTGAAAGATCATGGCATGTCAAATATATAATGATGAATATTAATGTTTGGACGATCATTCGTGTCTTAGTTTTTTCCTTTGGGCATTTGCTTTAGGGGTTTGGGATGGGGGATTGGTGTTATTTTTTCAAGGGGGGTTTTGGGGTTAGAAAATTTTGTGGCTTGTATACCAGACAGGTTATTTGGAATGAAATGGGGGTATTCTACACCACACTATAAGACCGAAATTGCTTTTGGAGGCGTGTGAGGGCTCTGGCGTTATACTTTTTTCGGGCAAGATTCGACCTTGGATGTCACCAACCACTATCGCGGGTAAATCAGTGAGATCGTCACTATACACTAGCGTCACAACCACAATTTCACAGATTCAGAAAACTTGGCAGACACGGCAGACTGGGAATGTAGTCGGATTGGGTTTATGGAATTGAAATTCAGAGGATATAAACTTGTTTTTCTGAATATCTGTGAGACGGGCAGGCTAATCCAAATACGATTGAGATGGCGTGTAAGCCAGTCGAGGGCGTTTGAGGACAGCTATTTTGATGTGGGTAGTAAGTTGATGACTCTTGCATATCTAGAGTATCGCATCTAAATGTAGGTATGAAGTTGTATTGGTGTTGAACGGATTTTCTTCTGGTCTACCATGCTTCTTTAGCTTTTGGTCATATGATGAAATCTGCGTTTTCCCTTTTGTCAGAGCCTTTTTCGCAGACTCGGAAGTAATCTGAGGTTCATGGGTGTAGCGGTTGTATTTTGAGAGATAGGAAACTTTGGGACAGCAGCTGAGTATTGTTGCGTGAGACCTTAGTCATATTCATGGTTTACAACAACACTCTTCTAAGAAAGAGTGACTACGAACGGCCAGAAAGATTGGTGGTTGAGATTTAGGATGTTGAATCTTATTCTCTGACTCCGATAAGTCGTGTCTGTAGAGGAATCGTATGGTTTTGAAGAAGCATTTTTCGGAAGTCAGCGTGTTTGGGAGTTGAGCTTGTAAGTGTATTTCAATTTGATGCGCCTTAAAGTCAAACCAACACCTCCAATACACACTCCAAAACTCCTTACAATCTCACCTTCGTACTTAATCCCCTTTCGCAGCCTCTACCTCACCCTTTCATACAGAACGACAGCCATCTCATCCCTACCATGTCAAACCCACGTCAGAAACTTATCTCCTAAAGAGAAGATGGTAATCGAAATGTTCCATGCTGGTATTCATGTGTGTCAATAGTCCAGTCAAGAGGTCAGGGGTTCATCAAGGTAGGAAATACAACAAGAAGAGAGATTTGGGAGGGATGAAATAGGCGGGATGTGTTTAAGTGGTGTATGCCGTTCAAAAAGCAAAAGGGAGTCGAGGGAGTATGAGGGATATATGGTTCTGGATGAGTAGGAGAGGAATGGATGAGAGTTTAGTGGTGTATATTTACTATAACACGAGAGTGGCTAAATAGTTGAAAAAGGCGTTACAACAATAGACCCAACTGAATAAGAAACATAATAATCTCAAAAGATTTGCCTTATTTTCGGAGTAGGATTTCCTCGAGAACTTTCAATATCTAGCCACACATCGATCCCCTTCCCTCCCATGTACCTGATCCTTCAACCATCATAACACTAAAGCCATACCTACACATCGACAAACCCCCATTTCTCTTCCAAAGCCCTCATTCAGACCAAAGCAACCCGAATAGAGAACATAGCGTTTAGAAATCAGTAAAGAATAAGGATACAAAATTAGATTAACATTACTCAAGTAAAAATATATATATATAAAATAATACACTGGAATATCACACGCTTCACCCCCATCCACGCTCGCCATCATAACTCCACTCCGCTCCAAAATGAAACATGTACAACACCCCCAGTCATGCTACTCCCAGAATTTTTCCAAAATGCCCCAAGACGCAAAAAGGAAGCAACTAAACACCAATACGATCAGAGATAAGGACACAACTAGCATCACCTATCTGAAAGCCCCAACACTAGCCCGTTCCCTCAACCCCCTCCTCCCTTCAGGCTTCCCCGCGGATCCAGTAACCTTCATCCAATCCTCCCACTCGCGCGCAATCTCCATCAGAATACCTCCCATGACCGCCGCACTAGCCATAAGACCGTGTCCCTCGCCCTCGAGAACACGGACTTCACATCTCTTCATCGTCTTGCCTAGCCAGCGGACGTTTTCAACGGGCACACGCGTGTCTTTGCTACCGTGATGAATGACGACCGCGCGTTGGATGTCGACGTAGCGGAAGCCAATGGTGTGGCGGCGTTCAAGACAGACGAGGAGGTCGACGGCTGGGTTGGCGCCTGAGGTCGCGAGGTCCCAGATTGCGTGCGTGAGACGGGTGTCGTAGGTCATTTGTCTTTCCTTATCGGCGAGGGTACTGGCTGCTGCTGCTAGGATTGCGGCTTCGTTGTTTGGGTCGTTAGGGTTATTGGCTGCTTTCTGGAGAGCGGTTTGTTCTGAAGGATCTGGGTAGACGGTGGAGTTTCTGCCATGATTTTCTTTTCCGTTTTCTCTCTCGAGTCCGGGTGTGACTGTGGTTCGGCCACTAGGGGTATCACGTCCTGTTGATTTCCGCTTATTTCGTCGTGGTGATTTTGGAAGACTGCTTGTGATTGAGCTACTAGTAGCACTCATGAAGCTTGAATTTGCGGCTTTTAGGATGGGCGTCGGGAGAGCACGCAGAATACGCTGAGATGTAGGAATGGAATTGGTTGGGGGCGACGATGATTGACCACCTAGGACATTAAGCTGTGAAGGTGGAATCCATGGAGCGAGTAAATGGATCCGACCACGGATATGTTGGGGCATCCTGAGAGCAGTTGCTAGAGCATAGATTGCTCCAGCTGAGTGAGCTAGAATCGAGAACTTGGTTATCTTCAATGCTTGACAGATAGCGTACACGTCATCTGTAAATTATCAGCTGAAGAACATCGTCAAAAGAATATGGTTAACTTACCAGGCCAGCTAAGAGGTGTTGCAGTACCATCGGTGTATGGCTCACTGTCGCCTACCCCAGGCCTATCCGGTGTGATCAATCGTAGTTTGAGTGTCAGAGCCAATTCGTCATAGAAAGCTGTTATATATCTCGTCAATCCCATCCCTACACAACAAAAGACTGCGTAGCCCTCTGAATCGCCGACCTCGGAAAATGAAATGGTCCTTCCAGTTTGAGGATGTTTAATCTTTTGTGACAATCTCGGAGAACAGAGATATGCTTCAACGGCATCGTCAATCGAGTCCGCACTATTGGGCCGGTCGTCGACGTGGATCTGAGGTGTTTTATTCGGCTCTGGTGAGCTTACTCGAGACATTTGATTGCTATTCTTTCTACTATCTGTTGGCTTTGGGCTTAACGGTGCAGATAGTCGCTTCAAGGTTTTTGATCCAGACCGTTTTGGCGCCGAGTCGGAACGCTCGTATGAAACTCTACCTGATCCTCTATTTTGTCGTTCTGGACTTTGACGCGACCTCCTTTGGGCAACAGCTGGTGAAGGTGCACCCTCGTCATAATCATTCACCACGACAACTTGTTCCACAGTCGCGCTGGCTGCGACTTGCTTACTGGCAAGAGTCGTGGCTTTGGAAGGTCTCGCATTATCAAAATATCCCAATGGCTCTTGCATTTTGGAAGGTCCTTCGCTTGGCGCAAGAGAATTATCTCGTTTACTCCGCTCTCGTCTGTGGTGATTGTGTTCGGTCGATTCCTGGTTTGTTCCAGCCCCATCCTCACTCATTCGCTGCTTCCCACTTTGTCGACTCGATCGTTGGGAGGATCGCTTCTTGGCAGCAGTCGGTTTGCGCAAAGAAGAGTCTCGAGCCGGTATAAATCGGCCGGATCCAATTCCACCAAAAGCGCCTGGTGGAAGAGAGGGAGTTGTTGGAGTGGAATGGGCCGGGTTGGTAGAAGAGGGTTCTTCCTCTTCCCCGATCGCTGTTTCCGCCATGAAAGAGTTTGAATCAAACCGTTGAATAGGTAAACGCTCCGCCGAGGTTTCCCTAGGGGTAGTGCCGCCGCTAGTTCTTTTCCGATCATGCTCCCTCTCCCGTAGACGTTCTTTCGAGCTCATATACATCAACCCTTTTTGATTTCGTGACTGCTTTTTCCCCCAACTATCGCTTGATGACTTTCTTCTCAATTGCGGAAATGGTGCCTGACCTGGCTCAATTGATACGCTGCCGATGCTTGCTGCATCATTCTCCCTTGAACCAGTCGACCCCTTAGAGGATGGTCTCGAGCTACCCCTCAGAAAGGTTTTCAATGGACTAGAAGTAGACTCTCGAGGCGATTTGGGTGCGGTCAAAGCAGAAAACCCTGATGGAGGTTTGGCAGTTCGGATGACAGGAGGACTGGCCGCAAGCTCGTCGAGCGATTCCTCCTGCAAAAGATCTCGCAGCGACGGTTGATCGTATGCGCCGTAATCTATTCCAAAGCTGCCTCCAGGTGATTGACCTCCATGCCTTCCATCCAATCTTCCAAAGGTATTTGTGGTAGGAGCAGGCGATTTTTCTGGAGCAAAGCTTCCGCCCGTCTCGAATAGCTGGTTCGCAGGTGACGATATTATCGAGAGCGATGTGATTAGGGACGAGATGACCTCTGGCGACGCTGGTTGGACATGTACTCTGTTTGCAGGTGTCGTGGGACCTTGTAAAGACTTTCTGCGACCATGTCCTCGGTGTCGATTGGGTATAGGAGGCGGCATTGAATTGTGATCCATGACTGCAATGGTAACTTGTGAATCTGAGCGCAACCTTCCGCAGTCCCGCGATTCCTTTCCAGGCTTGTACGAATATGGTAGAAGTATCAAAAAGGTTTCCTCTGCATGGACGTTTTCAAAACTGCATACAACGCGGACGCGGTTTCAGGTGATGGAATCGACTCGGCGCGGTGAACATGCGACTTCGTGCAGGTTTGGCAACACTACGTATGGGGTGCCATTGGATGGAGTGAATGTTTGTGGATTAAAGATGTAGGGACCTGTATGCGATGCGGTCAGCGATCCTCTTCACGTTAAGGTTCTCTTGCAGGAGTTGGACAGCTCTTCCAAGAAGGGGAGTCCAGCCCAGTCTAGTCCCTGAGGATTGCGACGAACAGCTACAAGTATAAAGCTACTGCATACCACAAGCTTTGCAGATTTCAGGAGAAGTGGCAGTCGTCAGCGCACGCGGATAACAATATTGATGGGATGAAGAGAAGTTATTACTTCAAGAAATGAGATGCGGTCGTACGAACGGGATGAGAATTCTCTTACTCTACAGTAACAGTCTGAATAATAATTTGGTGTTTTGGTAACAAGTGCTATGGTAACGACAAAGACGCCGCTCGTGAGTGGACTCGGGAGCAGCACTAATGCAGGTAGCCACCTGTAGCCACCAACAGACCGGGACGAGAGGGGGAGAGGGTCCTGAACGAATTGTCAATTTGGCGTTGGGCCTTCTGTCGACGATCTGATAGGGAGGCGAGGGAGGGACAGCCAGCCTGAGAGCATCCGCGATTGGGTCCGGCCGCTCGTTTCACGCGATACCGGGAACCATTACCAACGCCAGGAACGGGGTGACGGGACGCGGAGAGATGCAGTCTGCAGATATATATTTTAGAGGGGGGGGTGGGGATGTTCGGGAGGAGCAGATGAAGTCGTAAGAGTCGGAGAAAAGGGTTCAATAGAATGGTCAAAGTTACAGGTTAGACCTTGAACATTTGTTGGTGTGTTTCTTCTTTCGGAATTTATGAGCTTGTTCATAAGAGTGCGCTTGGGATTGCCCCTGCGAACAGGCAATTTCATTTGCTCTCGGACCAGATAATAATATGACAGAGCCCATGTCAATAATACTGACCGGCACTGGACAGTTATGTGGGTCGGCACTCGTACTCACTCTTCGTGAAAGTCTATGGCGAATAATTGTAGCCAACCTTTGTAGACACACATGTCAAAGTAACTCGTCATATCTTCTCAAACTAGACGTCGGTCGTCTACATGACTGGTGCGAAAGTTACTTTTCACAAGTAAGAACTCCCGAGTACCAGAAACAAACAGCACTTTTTGGCCTTCAAGTAATAAGTAAAGGTGGGAGTCCTCCGATGCATCTGCCCTTCTTCTATCCAGCGTTGCAACCCCTCATCTTCTTTCAAAGCTCATCCTCACCACCATTTATGAATAGTTGCCTTCGATTCTTCCTTTTCCTGGTACCGGATTACTCGGGTGGCAGAAGTCTCTTGCTAGCCCTCTAATAGATTGTATTGAGTCTCGTACACCTCAGCGTCGAGGACCTCAGCGTCGAGGTCTCTTCTCAGATCAACGTCTGAGGATGGCGATAGGACCGTCATCAACACTGCTTGAACGCATAGAGAAAGACAGAGAGATTCTCCATGAGACTCACCTTACAAGTTCAATTATCGGTGACCGCAAAGAGTTATCCAGATATTTCCAAGGTTGTTATGCAACAGAGATCACCCACCAAAGTGTTGTCTTGGGTCAAGGGTAGACCTTTGATAACTCTGGGTTTACAGAACTGTATTATAGTGATAGCAGCTGCCTTCTCTTAGGCCATATCGAAGACCATTCTACTCGGTAAGTGATTATACTTTCTGCTTCTTTTATGACTCTTTGTCGATAGTGTCAAGCGCAATACTGATGGAAAGGATGAGAGGTGTAACGACGGTTAGAGAACGCTGGCTAATGAAGTGAATAGAGCGCTCGAACAGATCAATATGACGAGATTCCTTCTATATACCTACGTACGTACCTAGGTCTATATCTCATAGTTCAAAAGGACCCGCTCGTATTGGGTCGTATAGATCGGTTGCGTCGTATAAATTCGTATAAGTAAAGTGCGAGTAAGTTAAATAATTCTAACAACCAACAATCGAGCATTTTAGTAACATGAAGCACAGCCAAAATGGATATTGTTTTTCCTATACGAGCGTATGCTGCAGTCGAGTCATTGTATAGTCTTCGTACTCGTAAGCTTCGAGGCTCATGACTGTGGTCTAATAAGTATTCCAATGCTCTAATAAGATATAGATGATACCAAGTACGGTGGAGCTCAAGTGAGTTGAATGGCTATATAAGCACATCATCTGGCTGTTCTTCATATCTTTCTCACTCACTCATCTACCTTTACAAACCAGCTCAACATCCTCAATCGTTATGGCTTTCTCAAACGTATCAACTCTTTCGTGCTTTCCACAAGCGATTACAACACCCACTATCTTTGGTACTGAATTCCTCAATATCAGTGCATTTTTGGTCAGCAATTATTCCGTAGAAGTTACTCAAGATTACAACTACAATCATGGGCCTTTCTCTCTGAAGAATGCCGATTTTTGCAACATCACTGTTACTTACACCCATCCCGGAGAAAATGACACGATTAATGTCGAGGCATGGTTACCTATGGACAACTACAATGGACGCTTGCAGGCGGTCGGTGGAGGTGGATTTGTGGCAGGCAGATTCTACCTCTCGTATCAGCAAATGGCAGCAGCTATTGGGGAAGGATATGCGACATTGAGTACGGATGCTGGCCTAGGTGCAAATCCGGAAGATTGGGCCCAGGTTAGCCCCGGAAACGTCAACCAGTATCTACTCAACGATCTTGCGTCTGTCTCTTTGAATGAACAGGCAATCATAGGGAAGAGCCTCGTGCAAAGCTTCTACGGCCAACCTCCAGAGTTCTCGTATTTCAGCGGTTGCTCGCAAGCTGGACGACAAGGACTCATGCTTGCACAGCGATATCCAGATGCGTATGACGGTATTGCAGCTTCAGCCCCAGCAATCCATTGGAGCAAATTCATCAGCAGTATTTACTAGCCCCAAGTCGTCATGAACATAATGGGGAAGTACCCGGAGGCTTGTGAGCTGGATGCTATCACCGCGGCCGCGATCTCGGCGTGTGATCCTGACGATGGAGTCGTCGATGGTCTCATATCAGACATGGCAAAGTGTAACTTCGATCCAATCACCATTGTGGGTACCAAATTCAACTGTTCTGGGGTGGAAAAACAAATCTCTGTGGATGCCGCCATGGTAGCCAACGCTACCTGGGCCGGTCCACAATCTCTCAACGGCTCATCTCTATGGTATGGTCCAAATCGCGGGGCTAATCTGTCTGGAAATCTTACAACACTCGCAGTGGCGACGACGCAGTGTTCTAACAACGGTACATGTGTCGGCAAACCCAATTATCTCGGAGCCGATTGGCTTTCTCTTTTTGTCGAAAAGAATCCAGGTTATGATTTGGCGAACATGACCCAAAAGGATTACGTTGATCTGTTCCTGGCTGGAATTGATGAGTACTCACACATCGCGACTGACAACCCTGATTTGAGGGAATATTTCGCACGAGGCGGCAAGATTCTTGGGTACCATGGTTTGGTAAGAATCCGCAACCATTAGACCGTATGATTTTCACAACTAACAAGCGTACAGAGCGATCAACTTATTCCCGCCGGGGGATCAGCACTCTACTACGATGCTGTCACCTCTCTGATACCAGATGTACATGACCATTATCGACATTTTGAAGTTCCAGGGTTGGGACATTGTTCTGGTGGACAAGGAGGAAATCCTACAACGACTTTTGATGCTCTCCGTGCTTGGGTTGAGAATGGCACCGTTCCAGAGACGCTACCAATTAGCTTTGTTGACCAAAAGGGAGTCAGCAATGATAGAATCCTCTGTCCCTATCCTACGAAGCAACAGTATGATAAAGTCGGTGATTCAACATCAGCTGCTAGCTTCAAGTGTGTACTTTGATCTCAGAGTTGTCGGGGTGGTAGTCGAGGAAGACGCAGTCTTGTGGTTTGAGATCGAAGGCTGGTCGAAGGATTCCGCAAAATAGACTTCAATTCTTGAGTACTTGTATTATTAATAGACTTTTTTCGGGAGACACAACAAACTTGCTCTCTCATTGTCACGATGGGAAAGCCACTGTAAATTTATGTAGTAAATGAACGGTCCAAGCCAGCACGTCCAGTTTTCATTCTCTTGTAAATTTGGACATAAATAAATACATACGACTATGTTCTAAGAGAGTTTAGTATGAGCACATTCATTTTTACGTTTCAAAATTATCTGAACACTGCAGGACCTGAATACTTAAATTGTTAGCAAATCATTAATGATGTTCATCTTGGCACGAAATAAATGAATATTTGTTGTAGGATTCAAACTCAGGGCTCGGTAATAAAGGGCGTCGTTCCTAATTGGGTGAACTTCCGGCCCCTGCAGGTGGTCGCCATCCTGTTCTTGAACAACTATGTCATGGGGCGTCAACTTCATATATCACATGAATATCCTCACTTCGCACCAACTATTCGAATACATATAACAATGTTCGTGATAGATACTTCGACTTAATCTGAATAAGTATAAATTAGAGAAATCTATCACTTGATAAGTTCGCAATCATGGACGCCTTGTTGTCTGTCCCAGTTTTGGGATATTTTCTTGGCCCTTCAACTTTTTCGACGAGCTTGAATCTGATGTTCTTTTACCTTGTAAGAATGAATCCGATTTGAGAGATGAGACACTAACTTCTTATAGACTTGTAAGTTGACCATACTCAAAATGCTGTCACGGATCCAAAAGCTTATACGCAAAAGGGGGAACCCTAGTAATATCCCAACCACCACTCAAAGTAGAAGTCGTAGGAACTCTAGCCATACGCGCGCTATTCTTCCTACTCCCCTCAACCCTCTTCCTCATCTTCGACAGCGTAATCCCCAGTCTCGCCGTTGGAATCAAAACCCAAGGAGAATCAGCATTACCGACCCGAACCGGAAATTCGCGTAGATCCAAAAAGGCAGGACCGATTTGGTATCGTGTAGTCGCCCTCAGTATCTTCAATGTCCTTCTTAGCGTTGGTATCCAAGCGGCGGTAGAGACGCTTCTCATTGAAGTACTCAATGTTAGGAGTGCATTACAAGTCACAACCACACTTCCTATGCCCTGGTCGATCGCCAAACACGTTGTTCGAACCTTGTTTCTTCGAGAAGTAAATATCCCCTGTCTTATCAATAAACGTATCTGACACCTCCAGGTCCTCCAATACTACATCCACCGCTTCATCCTCCACCCCGCCAAACCCACCACCCTATCCCGCCTCCACAGCACCCACTTCCACAGCATTACCGCTCCCTACTCCTTCACAGCGCACTACGACCACCCCATCCCATATCTCCTCTACCGCTTCCTCCCCATCTACCTCCCTTCCGTCATATTTCGCACCCATCTCCTCACCTACCTCTTAACCCTCTCCGTCGTAACCCTCGAAGAAACACTCACGTCCTCGGGCTACAGCGTGATTCCGGGTATCATGCTGGGTGGTATGGCCCGGCGCCAGGTTTCTCACAGTGCGAGTCGCGGGAAAGGGAATTTTGCACCACTAGGCGTGATGGATTGGGTGCATGGGACGAGTGTGGGCGCGGATGTGGTGGATGATATTGGGGAGGAGGCGGAGAAGCATAGGGTTGGGGAGAGGAGTGGGGAGGCGATTGAGGGGGTGAAGGAGAGTGGGAGGAGGGGGTTGAGGGGTTGGAATTCGAGGAAGAAGAAGTAGAGGGGTCAGGTTTTGAAGATGGTCCTTGGAAAGGTATCAAGACTGCTATCTGGGAGTTAGTTTGTCCACATAGAATTATACGGGAATAGCAATTCCAATTCATTCTGTTTCACTCACACCTGGAAAGCTCAACGAGTCTATCACTACTCACTAGAAGGTACAAGGAAGATTCGAGGTCAATCTTGGATGCCACCCGAAAGACCTCATATACACTTTCCTTGGCAACAACCTCACCTTCACCTTCTTCTCGCCCTGTTCCGTTCCCCTTCTAACCCGTTTTCAGACCTCTTGGTGAATCTGCGCCCGTCGGAATATCCAATACTCCACTCACTGACCCACACCCTCACGTGTTCCGCCATGAATATAAATATTAACTTTTCACCCGCGACATGCAACAAAACTTCCTTTTCACACACATTTTTCCACGCATGGATCAAATCAAACAGGAAGCCGGAGACCCACACGTGTCTAGCCATGTGTACGAAGTATAAATGGCTGAGAGCATTGCACCTCGACCTCCTTTAATATGGATTCGACACCGTAACGAGATGCAAAGAGTTACCAAGACATTAGAATTTGAGGTTCTGTCACCACAAAATTCTTAGAGGGTGTATAATTTGTAAAATGAGGCACATGGGTATGTTAAGACGAAGATCGCGAGAGACTTGGGGAATGAACTAATGCGATTCCACGCAAACATAGATTTCCATACCTAGATATCAGCCACAATACAGCCAACTGTCGGTTGATCATGCGAAGAAAACGCATCATTGGTTATAGATGTCCTTTCAGACTCTATTCCCGACAATTACATACCCCCTCTCCTTCTCCCTAATCCTAACACTACCCACCCAGCCCAGCTCCCCCCTCAACCAGAACCCTCACACACTCCTCCCACCCGCCTTCAACAGCGATCATCAACGCAGTCCTCCCCTCCCCATCCCGTACCTCCATATCCACTCCTTTGTCTATCATCAAAGTTACTATCTCTGTTTTTCCTAAGGAGGCAGCAAGATGTAAAGCTGTTTTGCCGGTGCTGTCGATCGTGGTTGTCGATATGCCGTGGTCGAGGAGTATGGATATGATGTTTGGATTTGAGGATGTGACGGCGAGGTGGAGGAGAGGGATTTGGGGTGTGGTGTTGGGTTTGGTAAGGTAAGGTAAGTTGTCTGGGGAGTCGTAGGAGGGAGGCGGAGAAGTAATCGAAGGTGAGGATAACGGCGAGCAATTGAGTTCGTTTGTAAGATCTGTTTATCAAGTCAACACTACACTCTCACTTCCCAAGAAACTCACCAAAACAAAATCTCTCATCTCCAAACCCATCTAAAGGATCATCGAATCCCAACATCACTTCTTCAAACCTTAAATCTCTTGCCTCCACCTCACTTCTCTCCACCAACTCTCTAAACCCACCATCAGTTTCTCCCTCACTTGTCGCGGTTTCAACACAACCCTCCAACTTCCTCTTCAAATTCTCCCGATACCTCCTCTGCGCCATCCGATTCTGAATCTTCCTCTTCTCCGCCGCTTCTCTCAGTTTACGCATCTGGTTGTTTCTGCTTTCCGTCATCGCTCCTGCTTATCCTTCATTCCAACCCGCAGAATGGTTCTGATATAGATCCATCATACCATTGCACAACACGAACATATGGACGAGAGATAAAGGTCGGTGAGTGATGGTCGTGGGCACTTGCATTGAGTGATAGATGGTGATGACCTTTGGCAGTGGAGTATCGAAACACTACGGCGGCAGCGAGTCAACGAGTAAGTAATACAGATGATTTTACGGCCGAGATGTATAGTGTGTGTAGGCGATTCGAAAAGTCGAGACCCTGTGGGTTGCAACTATCAGGTATCTTGTTCTAGTACCCCAATTTCAGTAGCTAGAACTTTGACATGTTGCGAGCAAATGTCGAAACACCACTCCCCAATATGAAAGTCATACAAACCATTTTACGGCCGAGTCCGAGGTGACTTGGAGGTCTCGACTTTAAGTGTTACAAGTAAGATAACCTCATCCGAATGAGATGCTGGGTTTGTAAGATGTCATGGCTAGCTGACCATAATCCCGTGAACCAAGACAGGATTTTGACACTTTATCGAAACACGTCTTTCCACAGCAAGTTTACGAGCAAAGTGCTACAAACAAATTTACGGCCGAGATGCCTGAGTAAACTCGAAACGTCGAGACTGTTGAGTATTGTCATCCATCTCCATGCACGTACATACCTCAACCAAACACCATATCTTTCTGAACAACCCACACCTGGCGATGCCTTTCAACACCTATTTCCCAAATCCCAATAGCATCATGCCAAACCTCAAACCTGCTTACGCGCGTAGTCAAAGTAACAATCAACGCACTCTCCCATACGACCCACGTATGAATTTACAAAACGTTTCTCCACCATCCACTCCCATACATACGCACTCGCCCTCACTCAATTCAGCTTTTTAAATCCAGGCCACGAGCCCACATATACCTAGACATTGAGCCCAGTTCATCCTGCAATGGCCCATCCTCAAGTTGCTTAAATCCGTTGACACCAAGTGCCGGGACACGTTTGTTGAGGGCGGTGGTGCACAAATGCTTCTAGGTCGCGGATACTTGCATAAGGGGACGAGTGGTGGCTGTCACATGGAGTGAGCGGATTGAGTGGCCACAAGATGGTGTTTAATGCCGAAGGGTGGTACTCACTGCAGTCTCAGGTGCCTTTTTGTGACTATGTCCATAAGTCGATGATATGTCGATGTCAAGTCTAGACTCGGCGCTTCACGAATCACAAGTCGACTGAAATCTAGACTTATATAGATGTACGAAAATTATCAGAATCTTGAAGTGAACAAACAAGGAACGTTGCATGAGATGTATATTCCAAACTCTCACTGCTACTAACTCTAGGATTCACGCTACCGCCGTATTACCACCGATCAATCTCTCCGACTCTTCCACCGAAGAGTCCACATCACGCGAAATCCTAGGCCGCATCGGAACCAACTCCCAAGAACCCTACCTATACGTCAACAACGCATCTCTATTCAGAAACGAACGTCCTTATCATACACTAGGCTTCGGACTCAAGCTACTGCTTGGCAAGAATAAAATCGCAATTGTGCAGACGAACGTGCCCGCACCAGCGAGATATAACGGCCCGTTTATGTTGGTTTCTAGGAGATGACCTGCAATCAACGGGCTGAAAATCGAGAAAAGTCTGCCCCAGAAGCTTGCGATACCACTTGCAGTTCCTCTGACCGGTGCAGGAAATGCTTCGGGTGTCCAACCGTAGAGCACAGCATTGAACATGGATTGGAAGAAGTATTCCATCGCGTTCAACCCCACATTGGATGCGTGATTGTTGACAGCGGCGAAGAGAAAGAGCGAAACGCCCATCAATGCTGATGAGACTACCATTGCCCACTTACGTCCAATACGTGGTACGTAAATCATTGAAGCTCCAAGTGCAACACCAACAATTCCAGGAAGATATATGATTACATAGTCGCGGTAGGTTTCGGAAAGCGAGATTTTGATAGCCGCGTTCTTTCGCGATAGGATGGTCGGTAAGAAGGAGCCTAGTATCATAAGTCAGTGATTCGTACCAGTGCATCCTGACTTACCTGCAACGGAAAATCCCCAGTAGTCGAAAGCATATATAATCCAAACCAGAACCGTAAGCCTCGCAAGAGTTGCTGTGGCAAAGAGCGTTGACACTCTTTTGAATTCAATTCCGAACAGCTGTGACGGTGATAATTTAGGTGGTGCAGCAAGACCCGGAGTAGGACCCGAATCCGGTGACGATAATTGAGGCGAGCTTGAAGCTGACAAAGCCTCAAAAGACTCCGAGTTCAATTTGCAAGGTCGTTTGTTGAATTTGGCAATGTAGTGTAGAACTTCCAAGGCTTCCGCGTCTTTGCCCTTTGCGAGAAGATACTGAGGGGACTCTTGGAATGTGAAAACTACGAAACGTAGAATAAACACAGCAAATGATATACCACCGAGAGTAAACATGAGATATCGCCATCCATAGTTGGAGGCTTTGGTACAACACGGAACACCATCGGCAACCGAACCACACGCTGGCAGATCGGTAGCACAGGAGTATTTTGGTACAAATCCGTAAGCTATGCCGCTACAGACGACAACCCCAAGTGGTTGAAATATTGATAGGAGAGCGAGCAGGAAACGACGATTCTAGAGCTGTTAGTTATTGCTAAAAGAGGTCCTCAGTTACCTACTTGTGGAAGAAATTCTAAACAGATTGTGGTATCGATAGGTATATTACCCCCAATTCCAAAGCCGCTGAATGCCGTGAGGACAAGGATTGCGTTGTACGTATTTGGCGCTCCGAGGCAAAGCCCAAAGGCACAAGTAATGAACACTGTGCCATTAAATGCCCATTTCCGACCTGGCAATCATTAGCCAGGAAGAGAACATAGATCCAGAAGCATTACCAATGATATCGACAAGCACACCCCAGACGAAAGCACCAGCCGTCAACCCAGAACTAAATGCGGTGAATACATTTGCCAGCTGCGCATCTGTAATATGTGTAAGCCCGAATGTCCCAGGGAGGTGAATTCATGTTCGCTAAGGACATACCACTAAATCCAAGCTCTCGTTGTAAAGGGGAAGCGATAAGTCCAAACGCTTGTGCCCATAAAAGATCAAGGAAGTATCCGAGGCCACACAGCGACCAGATATACCATTGGTATCTTCCCATACCCATCTTGTCCATTTCCAGGGTAATCAGCCGTGCCTTCCTCTGGTATGGGGTAAGATGATCCATATCTGAATCGTCGATTGTGTCGAGGGCATTGTCTGGATCTGTACCCGATTCTGTTGCGCGACTGATGGCTGTTCAGAACTGTCAATATATTACTATCTACTGTCAGTATTGTCCACTTACTTGCAGAACCAGACAGGGAATGCGCCTCGTGGGGCTTGTCTTCGGTCGGAGCAGCGCTCATGATGAAGGGATAACGATTGAAGAGATTGTGCAACGTGACGCCGCGATCATTGTCTGAAGTTGTCAAGAGTTATAAATCAATCTTGTTGTGCGACTTTAGGTGGGAGGACAGGGTTTGTGCTTCAAAAAAAGAGTGTGAATGAAGGGTTCACCCACACTTGTACAACCACGTTCGAGAAGCAAGAATGACGACGTATGGCCAGGCCAAGACTGTTCAAAGTGCTAAAATCGACTATACCGAGCAGCGTGGATCGATGAGGTACCGCACCCCAGTCACGAGCTCTCTCATTCGATTGCGCTTTCCCAAAACTTTGAACTAAGAGTTTAGAGGTCTAGAAGTCTAGAACTACGCACGTATCGAGACTCTAAGCGTGTTAGGCAGGTAGGACCTGTGTACCATCGCGAACGCATCTTGCGGCTTCCTACAGACTGCATCTTTTGAGAGAATCATGACGGCCCGAAGCTTCAACCGCAAAGCGACTCTCATGGAATCGCAATTTGGGTGCGAGCAACATGGCATTCGATCGATAAGGTGAATCGCATCCAAGATCTTGCGAGGAGGTGAGATCCGGGGGGACCAACTCCAATGAAGTTAGGCGAAGCTTAGTGCATTTTCTTAAGTGCTTAGCGACCTGTCAAAACCCCGGTCACCCTCCCCCTCTCCTCGATCATCGTCATACAGGTAGTCCAGGCCAGGTCCAGGTTTTATCGAGAATCGCCTATCACCACAGTCACGTCTCTAAGTTCTCCGCAGACAGAGAATAATCGAAAAGCGCTGGATCATGGTATGATCTTTCATTTGTGTATGTATGTACAATGATTCCCAAAAGGTGCAACTCTTCTCATCTCTGCGCTAAGATATCTGAAGTAAAAGCTTCAACAATGGCGGCATTGCCGGTACTTTTACTGTAATCTGTGTTCAGACAGAGTGTAAAAGATAATGACAAGAGGTTAAGACCCAAACTCCAGACTTCCCAAAGTACCACGGGACGCCAGACCTGATTGATATAAGAAAAGAAGAAATAACACGCCATAACAGCCGACTCGAAACAAGAGATTAGACAGCAACCACTGCTGGTAATCCTCAGCGCAGCACAAAATGGCACGATCCGATAAATGCCCACGAACAGCAACTGGCGTTTTACGAAAGTCATCACTCTATCATCATTTTCCGTTCATGTCCCATCCAAGTAATGCAGTGTATCCAGAGCAACGATAGCTATTGAGTCGTGTATTGATAACAAAAAGGGTCATATTATCGTGCGGCAACTTCGAGTGGCTCGGAAGCGTCGATGTCAAGTTCAGCAGCATGTCGCTTGGCCCATGATCTCGTCAGGATTGAGGCTGATGAACAATTAGTATACGCGCTGGTAAACATCTTGGAGTGTACAAACCCTTGAGGAACTTTTTGCTTGCATATTTCTTGAAGAATGCTTCATGAGAAACAGGTCGGGCCAGGTAGTCAACCATAAGTCTGAAGACTGGCTCAATCTCTTCCTCATTGTATCCAGAGTAGTGAGTAAGAGTAGCATCCTAAAACGTGTTAGTGAAAGCAATGACGCAGATGAGGATTTGCATACCCATTCTCCACGCTCGAGTATCATACGGGCCAAGTACATGGACGCAGCAGCGACATGGCTTGGAAGATAATGCATGAAACGGTGATCTAGAAGACTAATTTCCATAAGGTATTTACCCAGAGTTCGTGTTTGAATATCGTAATTGTCGGCCTTGGAGATTCGGCGAAGGAAGTTCATTGGGTTTGGATAGCTGAGATCGTAGTTGAGAGTTGTCAACACGTACCTTTCGGCACTCAAGATCTCCTGCTCCGAGAATCCATCATCCGCGACGTGTTTGAAGTTGGCGACGTGAGGGGAGAGAACCTCTTCGTATTTGGACGCGATGAACATGGCAGTTACACCAACGAGCTGGAGACGATCAAGCTGAACGGCTTTCGCTGAGAGGAAACGGTCGATGATGTTGACGGCGAGGAAAAGTGTTTCGGGGAGGAGGTGGAAACGCGTGTGAACTTCGATGAGCCAGTCGACAAGTATACCTCTCATCTTCCACTCCAAATCCTCCTGGTGTTCCATGTAATCCGCGTTAGGTAGGGTGGAAAGTTCAAGCTCTTTTAAGTAGTCGAAGATTTCCACAACGTATTCGGCAACCATCAATGGGTCGTCCATGTCCTCTTTATCCAAATCTTCAACGCCCTCGGCGAACTTTGTTGCTGTGGACTTCTCATCCTCGATAGCAAGCTCGGTTTCCGGGTCAACTGACTCCTCCTTTGCTACCTCTACTTTGACCTCCTTCTTGACTTCAATGTGAATCTTCTTCCTTGATGGCTGTTCATCCTCGACTGGTGTCTCCGCTTTGACAGTGGTACTTGATGTTGTTGACGATGACTTTCTCTTGGTAGAAGGTAGAAGACCAGAACCAGGGCGCTTCAGCTCTGCTGCCTTCTTGTTTCCGTCCTTGGATCCGAGGGCTGGCCTTGACGAGTTGGTCCGCGACAACTTTGTCACTCCGGTGGGCTGCTTTGCAGCAACTGCCACTTTGCCCAACGCCTTTTTACCCTCTTGAGCATCGCCCTTTGTCACGTTGCTCACATCTCCTAATGCAGCACGCTTGCGTAATGGTTGTGTATTCACGGCGGCTTTCTTGGACTGAAGTGGTTTCTTGGATGCAAGGGCCCCTTCATCACCCGTTGAAGCCATCGACTTGGATCTTGTCAGACGGGTTGTAGCAGCAACGCTGTTCTCATCGTTCTCGTTAGTCGGTACCCGCCGGCTGGTTGCTCGACCCTGCAAGTGATTAGTTAGAGGCAATCCAAAAATGTGATAATCTCAAAACGAGAATATCACGCGTAAAGAGGAGGTTTTGCTTACAAGTGGCATTTTGTTTTTGTAGGATATTAATAATTAGATTTTGTGTATGTAATTTATTCTGTATGTGTGTCAGTAAGACGCGATGAAACTGGGTCTTAACCGCGTGTAGCTCCAAGCAAAGATGCCATAACACGCGACGAAGCTTCCCAGATGGTGCATAATCTCGAGAGAACGTACGTGAGTGTGGCTAAAGCCTCCAAGATCTCGACAGTCCGAGTCGGCGAGCTGTCCCACTGGATGATTGTATATCAACAGTGTCGATATACTGCTTTTAGCCCTGTCGTGACGGAGCTTCCAAGGCACTCAATGCGGGAAATGGGAAATGGGAAAAGGCGTTATACTCGAAGGTAAGACCTGGTAGAGAGTTGCAGAACTGTAGGAAGGAGGAGAAGGCGGTGTTGTTGTTGAAGAGAAAGGTCCTGGACCGCGATGAAGACGTGAAGGAAGAACTTGGAGGTGTCTGTCTCGCTTGTTATGGCTGGCGTCTTAGCGCGAGGTCAGATCCACCAGGACCAGACAAGGAACTCAGGCGCGAACCTCTCGAGCAAGGGCTCAAATAACCAAACTGGAAATGTCTGATGATTGAGAATGAGTAGAAAGATTGCGGTAATTGATAGCAAGGGACCAAAATGAGATTCAAGTTTGAAAACGTGAATAGGGAAAGATCCTGCGAGTTGATGATTTCACAAATGAGGTGGGACGTGGGGAAGATGGTCTAGAAAAGTGGCCCGCGATGTTGATTTTTTTGGTAACTGTGGCAACGAACACGCTTTTCATCATTATTGCCTAAGGTTGTAAGGCCTACTGTGGCTGAACGTGCTCGCATCGGTATGTGGCGCGCCGAAGTGCAAAAGGGAGCTAGTTAATCCGAACGGAGCTTTCGTCGATGTTCGTCTAGGAAATTTGGACGACATCAAGAGGTATCCATTGACCAGCAGCAACCATATCTGCGCCGTCTCGAGCACACGAGATCTTCTGCATCGGTGCGAAGATCAATTGATTTGGGTGGCCGCCATGTTACAACCACGACTACTGCTGCGGCGGTCCCAGCAGACGACACCATGTAAATATCTTTCGATTCGACAAAATGTCACCCGAACGTATGCTACGATTACAGAGCCGGTGAACACAGACCCAACTCCTATGTTGGCAGCAGCAGGCTTTGCACCACCTGCAAAGGCCGAGAAGAGTAGTGCCACCTTTGCGATGCGAACATATAAGCCTCGAACCCCTGGTGTTCGACATTTGAAAAGACCTATAAACGACCATCTGTGGAAAGGAAGGCCATTTCTGCCATTGACATTTTCAAAGAAGGGTCATGGAAAGGGAGGAAGAAATAATTCTGGGCGTGTGACGATCCGACATAGGGGAGGTGGTCATAAGCGGAGGATAAGGACTGTTGACTTTACGAGAATGACGCCCGGAAAGCACACAGTGGAGCGCATTGAGCATGACCCAGGAAGAAGTGCCCATATCGCTTTGCTTAACGAGGAAGCTACTGGGAGAAAGAGCTACATCGTTGCCGCAGAGGGGATGAGAGCTGGTGATGTGGTCGAAAGTTATAGAGCTGGAATTCCAAAGGATCTTCTGGACAGTATGGGAGGAGTTGTTGATCCTGGTGTGTTGGCAGCGAAGACTGCTTGGAGAGGGAATTGTCTGCCACTACACATGATCCCAATTGGAACATTCATTTACTGTGTTGGGTCTGCGAAAGAGAGAGGTGCGGTATTCTGTCGAAGCGCCGGAACTCATGCTGTAGTAATTTCGAAGGAGGATAAGGGATCGCAGAACAGATTTGTTCAGGTCCGCTTACAGAGTGGTGAAATTCGAAAAGTTAGCAGAGACGCTTGTGCCACAATTGGTACAGCAAGTAATCCTCATTTCCAACATCGACAGCTTGGAAAAGCTGGACGAAAGCGATGGTTGAATATCCGACCAACAGTGAGAGGTCTTGCCATGAACGCTGGTACGTACTGTCTATTCCATCTCCTAATGAGGCCAGTTTATTGACCAATTCACAGCCGACCATCCACATGGTGGTGGAAGAGGAAAATCGAAGGGTAATGTCAACCCTGTTAGTCCATGGGGATTACCAGTAAGTCTTACTTATGCATTTTGTCAGATATTTATTCCTAACCTTACTTCAGGCGAAAGGAGGATATAAAACGAGACATAAGCGTAACCCAAATAAGTGGGTAGTGACAGCACGCGAACGAAACCATGGAAAACGACGCGTAAAGTAGATGACTGGAACTCTGAGTCTTACTTATGGTCCTGGATATTTCCTCTCCAAGACAATGTTGCGCATAAGATGACGTGTGTGTATAGCTAGACAGCCTTGAGATGTAGGAGTTTGTGTATTATAGAAATACCAAGAAGTAATACTTCGAAGAGTTGCATATGCTTATTTGCTGGGGAGTTTACATTTATTTGACACTTGAGTATCATTGTTCTGGACTAAGGTCTAGACCCCTCTATATTTCATGACACTGCTGAAAGGGCCAAGGCATTTAGATTGTTAAAATCTATCACTGATTGCTGGTCAAACCAGTCGCTTTCCTGTACACCAAACTTTTCTATCATTATCACCCTAAACTGTACTCCTGGTGATATTCCCAATTTACAACCTCACCTCCCAGGATTCATTGAATCGAGCTACATCCTTGATATTTGGTTCCTCATCTTCGCGTCAGAAGACGACGTTTCCATATCCTCTTCCCTACCATCATAACTCTCTATCATCTCACAAGTTCACAACCACCCCATTACCAAATCCCCACCTCCATCTTCCTTACAAACTCACGTCTTTGTTGCTCTCATTCCCTCATCCAACAAACTCAACCAATTCCAACTTCCAGACCTCGGCCACCACGTCCACCAACCCACGCAACACCCCATCCCATCCCATCTCTCGGGTCATCCCAACCCCCGAACTCCAACTTCCAACTCCGAACTCCCTCCACCCTCAAAAATACACCCTCATCTCCCCACCTCTACAAAAAACCCGTTATCCTGCAGCCCATCGGACATCAACCAACCACCTTGGTATAGTAACGTTCCTCACAAATCGCTTCTCGCATATCTAAGGTTCATTCACACCTCCACCCATCCGGCGCTTCAGCCCTTCGAGAAGCCTTCCAGTCAACCTTATTCCTGTATTGCCCTTTCATCTCATTCATAGAATCCTAGGGTGTACAAGCCTCTTCCTCTCCATTATCCACACTGTAATTGTGATGCAATTCACAAAGCAGCTGCGTACCTTTCATCTTCACGAATTCCTACGAGTTGAAGCGGAAAACGCTTCCTCGCAACCGTGATTGAAACCCCTACAACAACGTGTCGTACACGAGCTGCTTGCATGCTTGCATTCCGTTCCCAAGCCAGATGTACATCGCCTACAAAGTTCTCAAGCCCAATGTATGAATTCCAGGGTAGGTACATACATATGCAAGTATATAGCTACTTCTGTAGAAACCTCCCCCCTACCCTTTCCCAAACCTAAGTACCACACGTTTGCACTCCTCCCACACGCGAGCACATGCATGAATATACATATTTCAATTCCCGACTGGCCATGCTTCTCCAGCACGCAGCAGAAGCAGCGCATAATTCCCATCAACATGTGATCGCCCAAGGTCGGCGACCACGAGGGCGCGGGGTATGTTCGATTGACAGGTATAGGATAATACCTATCCCACGCATACCCATAACCCATACATAACAAACCATACATACATAAATAGGTTCAGCCGCAAAATCACAAAAATAGAAACACACGCATGAAAACCGGTTCACTAATCGTCAACCAAACGTAACATTGATCCATATGATTCGCTAATCTGATCCCTATCCTATCCAACCCTCCTCGTAAATGCCGAATTGAGAAACCATTTCGTCTCTAACTACCACTCCGTATCCCTTTATACCCCATACTAAATATGCGAGATATGATTCGTATGTTCTTACAGTAAAACCCCTGCCGGAAAAATAATCAAAAATACAAGAACCATGCATGTAGCAGTCCAAGAAAGAAACGTAGCTCCGTTGCCAGAACATAAAACTGAGCGAATGGTATCAAAGAACGCCGCCCAAGTTAAGTATATTCCCAAAAGAGTAGCGAACCCCGCGCTCCCCACCGTCCCCCCTTGTCCATGTATATTCTTAAATGGTATGGTAGATTTCCAAAGATAGTACGCCGAGTAAATGGTAAATGGTGATTAGATGTGAGTTGAGTGAAGTGGGCTGTGTAAAAGAACTAAGATTGTCCTTCCCAGCCGATATCCCTTTGCAAGATGTGAGCGGTGTGATCTATGAATGGAAAATGAGGAAGAACTTACATTGGATCCATCGGACCCAGCCCCATTAGCTGTCTGAACACGCCTTCGCCAACAGGAGTTAACCCTGTCGTTTGATTGTGACTGATGTTCTCCCAACCGGGGACATCGAATTGCCTTCCTGGCGTTTCTGGCACGTTGTAGGTGTTTTCGGGTGTCATGCCAGTACCGCTAATGTTGCTGAAGTCTGCTTGACCTGGAAAGAAATGGTTCATGGGAGTATGACGATTGGGGTCGCTTGATGGGTGAGGAAGAGGACTTGTTTCGTGCGAGCCATTTGCAGATTTGGCGCGATTTGACTGCAAGTTTGGTCTCGAGTCTGACGGTGTTGTTGAGCTTGGTGTTGGTCTGTTAGAGGACGAGTTTGCCGTATCCGGAGAAAGCCCTGAATCGCCACCATTGTAGCTGCTTCCGCCATTTACATTGTTAAGTTTGTTAAACGTATCGAAAAGTGCGGGAGTAGTATGAATTGCCAAATTGCCGAGTGCGCTTTGTACATTACTTCCTTGATCTGTGCCCGTACCATAAGTTGAATCCCAACCTTCGGAACTGTTTTGATTATTGGAAGATGAAGCGACGGGCCCGGCCACCGTTGGGGCTTCCTCCTGTATCTCTTCTGGTAATCTCATATAAGTACATTCGTTTCTGGGTTGTTGGGGAAGCCCGTTAAAACCTGCTCCTGGTTTAGGTTTGCAGCCTGCCATACCGGCCTGTGAATTGTGAGCAAAGTTTGCGTGTGGGAAAGGATCAACTTACGTTATCTTCACCGTACGCAAATACAGTTTTGTATTTTGGGTTGCGCATACCAAGCCCCTCAAGATCAACATCGAGTTGTACCAAGAACGACTCTGTGAGGGGGTTCTTCCTTTTCAGGGCATTCATAGCTGAAAGTAGGAATCGCAAAGAGTCTCCAATTTGACTATCCTCTGGTCTACTCTTCAAGTACTGGACGAAAACTCTTGCCGCAACATAAAGACAGAAGGATATAAAGGGATTCATCTTCCAGCCATTAGCAACCAACTTGTCAAGACTGCCACAGTACTTACCGTTGATAAATCCATGTGAGAGACCATTCGCATTACGCTTGCAATCTCATTAGCTGCATTGATACATCGTATCTTGCTCTCAGCGCTGATTGAAGATGGAAGCCGGTTCTTGTCCGCTTTGTAGATGGCGGCCTGGTGTAGACAGATGGTCGATGTGTGGATGTTCATGTTGGTGAATACGATGTTAGGATTGTTTAAGCCGTTGGGTAGCTTCAGGTTGGATGGTAAAGAGAGCGAGGTGTTGAGTAGAATGTTGTCCATGTTTCTGTGTCGTTTCCAGAACTCGCCGTTCAGGTCATGATCCCGATCATCATCATCTGGGCGATGTAAATGGATCAAATTTCGCCCAAAGAGACAGGCCATTAGCACGATACCTGCAAAGGGAGAGAGATTGGAAGCCCCATTGGGATCCATAGCTTGTGCGAGAGATTGAGTAGTCTCTGCTTTACTCATATCGAAAGCTTCATCAGATGAGGGGAGATCAGATAGAATGTCCTTTTCGTCGATCGTCATCGGCCATCCCGTCCCAATACTCGCATATCGATCTTCGCAGAACGCCATCCAAAAGGTTCTTCGTCTCTCCTCGCGTTCTGTCCAGTCCCGAGGAGGTGGAAGACACTGCTTTACGTCAAGTCCAGCTCCATCCATTTTATGTAGACTCATCCTAAAACAAGATTAGGCAATGCAATGCATTCATGAATCCCTAACATCACTCACATCTGACATAATCGAATCGCTGTCCCCGTACTGATCCATGCACGTGGGAAGTACATCATTTTGAACTCGTATGATGCCAACAAAACGTGTGTCTGAGCATTGGCGACGGAAATCATATGCTCTCCATGGCCTTTGAGAGAGTCCGATTCTACGTATTTTCGACTTCGCTGATAGAAATGGTCTTTGAGGTCAAAGAATTTCTCAACCACAGACGCTGCAAGAGCCCACATAATATATCGCAAAGCGACCGGAGGTCTTTGGCTTGGTGCCCTGATGTATAGTCAGTATAGGTGTAAAGGCTTCAGTAGGTGCACCAGGGTGGAAAAGTGATAGGTTATCGTTTTTTTCGGTGCAATATGCATGGAGATTATCAATTTGACTCAGAATGAATATTAGTGACTTACAGGTTCATCGCTGCTAAGTATCGGTATTTATGTATCATTGGTAAAGAAGGGTGTATCTTGTCAAAGTATATGGTATGCCTGGCTTGATTAGTTCAAGTAATGCATGCATGATCGACATATCACCCACAGTTCGTCAATCGTCTCCTGTGGAGGCAATGGTTCCTCTAGACCAAGCCCGATCATCTCCCAAGTGAACGTGCTATCATCGATTCCCATGCTCATGTTCATGTCGGCTGTAAAATTTATGTCTTCCATTGGCGGTTGAATAGGGGAGTCTCCATTAAGTCCCCATCGTTCAGGATTGACCGAAACCAAGGGCGGTGTATTGACAGCGAAATCTCCAGCAGGTATGGATCGTGAGGCAGCTCCGTTCATACCGCCAAAGGCATTTACTAAATTGTCTTTGGGTGACGGTACCGGATCCTGGGTCTTTAGCAAAGTCTCTACCTGCTCTACGTAAAGATACAAAGTCAGCTTGTGGTCAATTGTGATCCATTTCCACCACGATGCAACCAGAGACTGCTCACTAAGTCTTTCCTCCAACGCCTTGACATAACCCCTCTTTGGACCTGACTTCCTCCTAACTTCATCATAAGCGCAACTATGTCCCAATCTTGTACATGTCGAGCAACTGGGCTTCGTTCCGTCGCACTTGAGCTTCCTTTTCCGACATATGATGCACGCTATCCTCTTTGGCTTTGGCACTGTATCATGATCTCCACCGCTGCCAGCTTCTCCATTCGTGCCATTTACAGGGCTCTTGCTTCTGTTGTTGTTTCGACCATTGGCGGTTCCTGTAGGGCGCGAAAGGTCGTTGAAGTAATCTTCGGGTGGGGTGTTCGAGGCGGATGACATGTTTGCGGATGGCCCCGTTCTCATGCTCTCGGGGTAGCGTTGATGGTCGAATTGGTTTTATGGTCCTCTCGCAACCCTCTTGTATATGGACGCGGCTGAAAGCAGCGTTATAGTTGATCTGAGGTTGAGAAAGAGATGCGAATGAGACCGTGCCGCACGAGGCGAGGTGTCAATGCCGCGATAGTGGCGCTACCGGTGTGAGGGGCAAGCCTTTGATGGATAGATATCTACAACCGACTTACATATGTTTCAAATATAATGAATGGATATACAAAGCCAGACTTTAACGAAATTCATTGAAAGAATATGCGATACTTTTAGTATAAGTTAGGGGATTGGCAGTGCCGGCGACCCTGAATCCTCCAACTTTGGTCTAGTCGAGATCCCCGTCGATGAAGAACCACAGGCCCAAAATAGGTGGAGCGCGGAGCCCGTGGGATGCTTCAGTCGAGTCAAGTATCAAACAAAAACATTCCAAGACTCGACGCCAGCGCGATTGTGCAGCGAAACAAATATTTGGACGGTGGCTGTGTTAAAGGATCACGAACATTATCGTCGACATATCTACTCATTACCAGTCACGTTCGCCGGGCCTGATCTGTACCAGAATCATGGCTTGCTCGGGTGGTGCTCGACTGCAGCAAGAAAGGTTGGGTGGAAATGAATCACAACGGCTACGGCTGAAGCCACGCATGGAACCCTTTCCCAATGATCCCTTCGAGCAAGCTTTGCGAGCTCGAGCAGAGACTGGTAGATGTCCGACGCATCCCCAGGCACCAGCAATTCGAAGCTTCTGATTCCGTAAGCTCATAATAATCACGACTCCACGTGTGCTCTAGAGGTTGCACAGATATCCTTACCCGCAAGGTTCGAACCACCCCTTTTCAGCCTTGTGGGGATGCTGTTGACCAACCGTTGCGAGCGGTGAGAGCTTCTTTAATAAGGTAAGCGAGTCGGTTGAATATTTACACCGACTCCTGGGAGCCAGATGCTATGTATATGTCTGAATTACAGTAACATTTGACAATGGTTGAGGCTGCTGTGATGACGTTCTTGCCACGAGGCCATTGATGGCCTTGAGTAGAGGTAGCAAGGGCGGATCATTTGTGGTATCAACTCAACTTGGATATGTGGCATCTTTCAGTCAGAACACGGATTGCCCTTGATCACTTTTGCAACCAAACTCAAAACGCCTTTGCTTGATACATTGAAGCTGTGACAAAGAAAGCTTAGTGGCAGCCGAAAATCTAGCAGATAAGCCTGCCATTTTGGCCAAGTCAATTAGAGGTAAAAGGGCATGAGACTGCTGTGCCAGGCTATAAATTCGTGTAAATTCATGGTATTTCCCCACCAGGTTTCCCTTTAAACGCCTGTACTCCCATCCAAGACGATTCTACAATTCGCATGCGATCCAAGTCAGCTTCCAAATTGTTGGGTGTGACAGATGTCAAGGCATTATTCCTATTCGCCCTCTCTATTTCCTCTCAGGGTCAACTCCCAGAATCTTAAGCATGCCGCCTTCCGCATATGCCAAAGAATAACGACTTGGATGCCACGCGACGACAGGGCAGGGGCCAGAAGTCTTGACTGAATGGACTGGATCTCCGCTTTCGGTATGCGCGATCTCCAAGCCGGCTCCTTCGTCGCTCCCTCCCACAAGATAGCTACCATCAAAAGAGAAGGCTATACTTCTGACTGGTCCAACCATTTCTGTTAAAGTTCGCTGACAATGCCACTCTGTGGTATCCCAGAGGGCAATAATGGAGTCTGAGCCTCCAGTTGCAAGCCATCGTCCGCTAGGCGCCATTTCAACCGAGATACAGGAAGATGTATGACCATTCAGTGTAAATGGGGTTGAGGGGTCATAGCTGGTGGTGAAGACTGGTTTAAAATCAGGATATGACAGTATTTTGACTCGACCCTCTCCAGTCGTGAGGAATACTTTCGTTCCGCTGTTGCAAAAGCATATTTGATTGGTCTGGACTGGCTGTTGATGAGAGGCTAGCGGTGTTGAAGACGTTGGAGAGAGAATGTATAAATTGTCGGCCTTGGTAGTTAGTGTTGGCACGAAATGGTTGGTATGAGAGGATCAGCGGCTGGAAATTACTTACCTTATTTCCTACGACGAGGCTTTCTCCGTCTGGAGCCCAAGCCAGAGTGATTGCATCACCTAGCCCTTTGACCTCATTTATAACCGCTTTGGTTTTGACATCCCAGAACCTCACAACGCCGTCAATGGAGACGCTACATAGCTCCGCCTCCTTGACTGGGTTGAATGCTACTTTCTCGATGCCGGCTGTGTGGCCCTTCAGCTCTGTAGAGTAACGAACATGGACTTTCTCTGGATTCCATCTATATTGAAATTAGCAGTCCAAATCGAAACCTGATTCCAACCCTTTCAGACTTACACCCGAAGAGTCCTATCACTAGAACCAGTTGCTACTAATGTACCAATTGGATTCCAAGCAATTGATCTTAACCTAAATTTACATTAGCCAACGCCATCTTCATAGAAAAATAAACGATGCATCTGGAATGAAGAGCTTGACAGAAAAGGTACCAAAACGGCTAGGAGACTATGAAACAACACTTATCAAGCCCCCTAACAAAAATGAAAGATATCGTTGCTTGTGCCCCCCAGAATGCTCAGTTGTTCTTGTTGTCTCATATGAGACCTGAGGCTGGATCATGATGGAATGAAATTGAAGTAAAAGAACATACTGTGAAGAAACCCCGCGCGCTGATGGATCATTATATGACTGAGTTCGAAGATTGCTCAAGTACCCAGACACTCTATCCTTTGGAACACTCGAGCGTGGCCGTGGAGGTGCCATTGTAAGAAAATGCTTTCCGTGTGGAGCCTTGCTGTGAGCTCTCCGACCCTCAACAATAAGAGCTACGTACTTTTAGGATAACCTGGCCTTATAATGAGTCGGACCACAGGTATTGCATGCTAGACTGTTTGGTAATGTTGGAGTTGATCTGGATCACTGAGATCGGTTTGCTAGTGAGTTGTAGCTAGAATGCAGGGGTTCCACATCGCGAACAATTTCTAGGGTCGCTTGTTCAATAATGGCCGTAACCACCTCCGAAAGCACTGATCTCACCACTTAAGCTCGCCGACGTCTCATGCAGCCGTAATACATCCTACACTGGCATTGTAAATCAGATTACCGTCGTGCCAGTCTGCGGACATGCGACCACACGAATGAAGCATTTAAAGGCATTGCGCAGCCATGTACTGGCCCATTGGAGCTCCACGAATATATGCGGCCAGCAATAGCAAAGCAGATGCACGACGGTACGAATTCGATGAGGAGGAGGACGACGACGCTGAATCGCGCGAGGCTACGGAAGGGAGTGGATCTTTGTTGAATGCTCCAAGTGTGGATGGCGAAGGCAATCCAGAAGCGGAACTTCCACCCATACCCAAAACTCCAAAAACTCCCATCACTCCTGGAATAAAGCCCGTGGAGCAGAACGATTCTCAGAGCTATTTTTCGACACATGGGCATGGAAACGGGAGGCACTACTCTCGCTCCACCGAGCGGGACCCCCTCCTTGCCATGCAAATATCGCGGACTGGACATTTATTTGCAGTTATTACCTCGACCACCTTGACTATATGGCAGACGAAGGTATACTCTCTTTCAATTGGGAAAATTCAAGCTGACTCTATAGCCAACTGCTATCCTTGCAGTTGTAATACGCTCCCACAAGTCATTGAGTACATACGGAACCAATGTGTCCCTTCTTGTCCGCCCAGACTCCGCAATCTTTGTAGTTCAGACCACTTCGGGATACTTGATCACATACACATTGGCAACGGACCCCGATGCCCGAGTCTTTCGACCGCACTTTTCGAGTAGCACGAGCGGGCAAGCAAGAAGACAAAGCAACTTCACAGGGGCCAGGAATGGAGGGGATCGAATACTATGGGGTCCCGGTGAAGGAGGTGGGGTGCGCGAAGTCAGTGTGAGGTTTCGGATGGTTATAAAAGTCGATGCTGGAATTGCAAAAGCTTTAGCTTTGGATGATGAGCTTGTGGTAGCCACCCAAAAACCTGCAGCTGTGCAATGCATCAGATGGACGCCAGATTCCGCAGGTAATCAGACAAGTTACGAACTTTTCAATCGTATGGAATGGCTCCCTAAAAAAGTGAACGTGACGGAGTTGATTCATGATAGGCCAATGAATCTATCTTGTTGGGTCACGAATGATGGTAGAGCCTACGCAGTACAAAGACTTTCTCAAGCTGTTCCGGCAGATGGTCCGCAGAAGCTTTTCCGGGGTTACTGTTTCCATACACCTAAATCGCCTGACAACCATGCAGTAAAAGCGGCTATTAATGCCAGATTCTCTCTTATTGCTATTGGATGCTCTGATGGGACTATTCAGGTCTACACGGCCAGAGATTATGTGGGAAACATTCCAGCTTCACATATCCACAGACTCTCGGTATCGAGACAGACCTCAGGCTCCATAACATGCTTGTCATATTCTCCAGATGGCTACTGCCTATTTGCCGGTTATGAGAATGGCTGGGCAATCTGGAGCGTGTTCGGAAAAGCCGGTGCCACGAGTTTTGGCTCAGATAAAAGGATATCTGACACTCATAAGGAAGGCTGGCTTGACGGTGTCAAGGAAGCCAACTGGTTTGGCGGTGGTTCAGAAATTCTCATCATCGGAAATGATGATGATCGAATCTGGACCTTGGAAATGGCTAGAAGTGGCATAACTGGTTGTTATACATCCTCCAACATCTCACGAACCTTGCTTCAAACCACTTCGAGTATAATGGTGTATCGTGGATACGATTTGCCGGACCTGACAACAATATCAGCTGAATCATCGCTTTGGCACACTGCTCAAATTCCATCTAGTTATCTTGTTGATCAATGGCCTATACGATGCTCGGTTATTTCTGCTGATGGTAGATATGTCGCTGTTGCTGGCCGTCGAGGGTTGGCGCATTACAGCGTCAATAGTGGGAGATGGAAAACTTTCGTGAACGAGAACATGGAGAATGAGTTTCAGGTTCGCGGAGGAATGTGTTGGTATCAACATATTTTGGTTGCAGCTGTCGAAGCTGGTGATTCCTTCGAAATACGCTTGTATTCTCGAGAGTCAGCACTCAACGGCTCTTTAGTGCTTCATTCTCAAGCGCTTCCAGCACCAATCGTACTTATAGCGCCTTCTGGAGAAGATTCGTTGCTTGTCTACACATACGACAATCTTCTTTACCACTATATTATTACATCTTCCGCGGAATCGGTTCAACTTATTCAGGTGGGACAAATTGCCTTCCACGGAATAGTTAGATCGCCAGCACGAGTACGAGGCTTAAGTTGGATATTACCGGATGAGCAGCTGTTAGAAGGAGACCCTTCTCAGGATGTCGCTGTAGCGACGGTTTTATTCCTCGTCGATGGGAAGCTGGTGCTCCTCCAGCCGTCACTCAACGAAGAGGGGAGGTTAAAGTATGACATGCGGGTCATTACCCAAAATGTGGAATACTATGCACTGATAAGGGACCTTCCTTTTGCAAGCTCACCACGAAATTTGGACCATACTAATAGTTATAACGACGATGCCAAAAGCATAAGCGAGGGGACTGGCCTAAAGGACTCTTTATGGATCTTTGAAGGCAATGAAATGAAGGTCTGGACGGACGTTCAAGATGTTCTTCGATCAGCACCATCCGAGTTAAGCAGGGAGCTCCCTCCACTCGTATCGATACCTGTAGATTTCTATCCATTATCAGTTTTACTTGGGAAGGGCATTCTACTTGGACTTGAACCAGATCTGGTTCAGCGCCGAGATGTGAACTTTGCTTTCTTCAAGTTCACAATCCGGGTACGTCTATCGCCTCTATTCCGTCAACATAACTAACCATTCCCAGACTCACCTATTCATCCCCCAAGTCCTCCGCTTCCACCTCTCACGCTTCGACTCCCCCGCAGCCCTCCACCTAGCCCACCAATACCACACCCTCGAATACTTCCCGCACTCCCTCGAAATCCTCCTCCACACCGTCCTCGACGAAGAGGTCGACCACACCCCCTCCCCCGAAACCGCCCTCCTCCCCGTCGTCCTATCCTTCCTCTCCTCCTTCTCCTCCTACCTAGACATCGTCGTGCAATGTACACGCAAAACAGAAGTCCGTTCCTGGCGCACCCTCTTCACATACCTCCCACCGCCCCAAGAACTCTTCGAGGAGTCCCTCCAACGTGGATCCTTGAAAACAGCTGGTGGATATCTTTTAATCCTGCATACCTTTGAGGAATTAGGCTCCAGTAGCGAACAGCTCGTTCGTCTCCTCAGTCGTGCCAAAGACGAAGGCGATTGGGAGTTATGCAAAGAACTCGCTAGGTTTTTGCAGGCGCTTGATGAGAGCGGGAATACGTTGCGTGAGGCGTTAGAGATGGTGGATCTTAAGAGCCCCGGCGTAGAGAGGGAGTATCAGAGTTTCATGTTTGAGGGGAGTAGATTGAAGGTTCCAAGACCGACGAGGCAGATTCCTGCGGATGATAGTGGCAGAGATAGTAGTGGGAGTCGGAGTAGGAGTCCCGGGGAGAGGAGTGAGAGTGATTATTTTGGTGATGGGGTTGGGGTTTGAAGATTGGATTGGATTAAGGGGGAAAATGAATTTTAGGTGTTTTTTTGGTTTAATTGGGGTTAATGAGTGGTTCAGGGAATTGAATAGATGATCAATCGAACACTTTTGTTTACTATTCCTCTCCTGTGGACTTTTTATCCATGGGTTCATTCTATACCAACCATCTTCGTCAGTCTTTCCTCAATCAAATCCAAAATCACATTACCAAGATCTACCTCATACGAACCGACCAATAACTACACTTCGTTCCCCAATCCAATAGCTATCCCACCAGGTACATCCTCTCAACTTCCGTAAAAGGAAAGCACGACCCTCAGCCCTTTCGTCTCACGTACCTCTTACAGTCCCATTCTCGTAAGCCAAGCCATGCTTTAAAATCTCACTCTCACCCTACGAGGAGGCGAAGTCTTAATAATCTACCTCTTATACCCTCACATTTGATCCATCCGGGACTCCGAACTTCTATACGTCTTTATTAACAAAAACTCAAAACTTGTCACTTTTTTGACTTTCGTCACACAGCAGCACAAAATGGAAACGCTGAAATTGCTTCCAGCGGAACGCGAAAATGGACCTGAAATCCTCGCGCTGTTCATGCATACATTCAGTGATCCCGTAGAACCCATGTTCTTCGTGCTCTTCCCGCGGGAAGAAGAAAAGTCTCGCGCTGTGGAGAGGATGTGGGGTGGTAATGATGC